CATGCTGACCAGTGACTGTGGGCATTTGTGCACATTTGTGCTGTCAAACCAAAGGAGGGTTAAAGTATGTTTCTGATATCTTTCACATTTCCTAATTCAGAATCAAACTGTATGCTATCTACAAAAGGTGGGTGCATTTTAATTTAAGTTCAAACTAAGCCTACAGACAGACCTTGAAAAGAGAACCAAGGCCCAGATCCATCCACTTGCCTGGATAAAGCAGAAATTGCGTGCATCAGGTAAAAAATCTTCTGCAGTAATAATGCGGCCAGAACGCAAGTGTTTTATACAAACAGTGAACATGCAAAGAAATTTCTTGATGTGGTCTCTACTCACCAAACCAGACCAATTAACACTCTCACCTTTCCGCTGGTATCCCCGCAGCAGATGAAGTTGGTGCCGTGCCTCATGATGGCTACGCCCGGGTCCTGGGCAGTGTAGGTGGCCACCTCCCGCCCCTCCATCAGGTCAAACTCCACCAGGAGAGTCTGGTGCCCGCCCATCAGCAGGTGGGTACCGCTGTAGATCAGCATGCACTGCATGTCCTGCAGGGACTCCCCTCTGGGGACCAGACCAAACAAAATGAAAGCAAAGCGATGGACTCAGAGAAAGTCTACATCTCAACGGGCCTGTTTGTTTCACACAGATCTAGATCTCGATCGGTGATCCTAAGATTGGTTTGCACCATCCAATAGGTGAGTTTTGGTGTCCATAAATTAACAAAGGACCACTGATCGCGATCCAGATCCGTGTGAAACAAACATGGCCAATGACAAGCTCTGTGAAAATGAGTGGCCAGTTTTGAGTACCAGTCCATAAAAAGAATCCTGCACCTGGAAATCAACGGCAACCATCAACATTTTCCACCCACACAATGACAACTGGGACGACAATCAGAATGCCAACATGAGTGATATGTCACCAGACTGAGGTTAGCTTGCTCTTTCCAAAGCAAACTGACACAACATTCCTGAAAAGAAATGGCCTAATGACTCATTTTTGCGAAGTGATATATAAACACCTCAAGCCTCAGGTTATTTTTCACCAGGTACACCATGACCCTCATTCTAAATCAGGCCAGCATCTTATTGTTAGTGCTATATAGTGACTGTCCTCTCTACAAAAGTTTATTCCAGTTTGCAAGCGACAGCACTGTGGATACTTCTGAGAACTCTTTGGTATTCATACCTCAAAAAAAAGAGAAGAATTACTGAACAAATGCCAGGAATTGTTAATTTGCTGTCTTTCATTGTATCAATGAAGTCTGCGCGATTGATGCTCATTAACTTAATTATCGCATCAAACAGTGAAATTGATTAGGTGCTTACATAATGAGCCAGTTTGGTATTCTATCACTGCCCGCCTAGTACGAGGCTATTCCGGAACGGCTATACATACGTGTGATAGTCTGTCCTATCAGCGCAGCCATGTGCGGACTTATGCATGCGCTTTGTTACCAAAACACCCTGGCTTTTGAAATCCCGAAGTGGCCCATTATTAGGAAGATGCACAAAGAAACTGACTGGTATCTGCTCCGAGCGGAACAAAAGAGGGCATTTTTTTTCGGTACTCACCGCATGGGCGCACCATGAGGCGCGCAAGTATATGCACATTTGATGCCGAGCATGCTTAGTACGAAAAACTAACTCATTCCAGCTTGTACGGTCTTTGAGAAAACGCAGAATGCATGCAAGAACCCGCTTGTAGCCACCTGTCTTTCTTTCGCCGACTGGGGGTGCATTACAGCTCGGGGCGGACAGGATTTGAATCTATGATATCCATAAATTAGCTATCCAGTAATATGTTGGTGGTTCCTCTAAACCCATTCAGGGGTGCTGGTTAGGAGTCTGTATGTAGTTTGGGTTTCACACACAAAGTCACAATACCAGCAAATAAGAAATGCTGCTTAACTACCAAACTGGTAATTCATGATCACTCCAATAGGACACAGCTTTTCCGTTACCAAATGTCACATAACCACACAGGAAAAGTGTACGTTCTTCATCCAAACAGGTTTCAATGGAGGTACATGTATTGGATGTTGTCCTCACCGATAGTCAAAGACACGGAGCCCCTGTCGGGCATGGCAATGCAGGCTGTCGCTGGTTAAGCCCAGCACGCCGTCGTCAAACGTCGTGATCTGCCGTATCTCCCTGGAGGGGTGCATCTGGAATGAAGTGTACTTCTGCATTTGGGGGCCGTAATAGGATGTCATGTGACCCTGCAAAACATCGCAAATGAACGGTAACAAACGACATGTAGGTCAGTACAACATTAGCAACATGAGGGCATGACACCAGCTTTGATCAGTCCAACCACAGCTGACCCAGAAAATAATGCCTGTACCATAATCATTTCAGTCTGTTGGTTGTTTAGCCAAATAAAGATGTCCATTCTACATAATTGAAAATTAAAAAAGACTGGTGAGGTATGAAAATTAGCTCATAAATATACATGAGTTGCAGTAATGAGATGTACCCCTTGGTTTCCCATCCAGAATAACTCTTCTTGTCTGTCAAAGGCCACAGCCGACACCCCAAAGCGGTCCGCACCATCTGCCATCAGGCTGTGTAGTTCCCTGTAGGAGCCATGTATTGGTAGCGGAGGGCCTGACATAAAATACAACATCAAAGCCAGAAGATGGGTCTTTAAACAGTATAGAATGTTCAGCGACAATGTAACTGTCCTGTGATAAACGTTCAAGCAAGCAGGAAAAGGAGGTCTCGGCAATCGGACAGTGCCACCTAAGGATACCATCCAAAACAGTTCATGCCAAAGTTTAAGGAAAAACAGCTAATTAAAACTAGGTAGGGGTCTAAAATTGTACAATTGGATAATTGTAGACTTAAAACATATGGTAACATAAAATTTCTACTCAATCTGTGCCAAAGATGAACTTGTTTCTAATCTGTCACTGCCGAGTCTCAGAATAAAAAAAAGGATTACACATGTACATGTATTATGAGAAGGAAGTGGTAAAAGACATCAAAATATGACAATAATCATTGAGGGCATCTCACACCTTCGACGTACTCTTCCACAATGGGGGTGTGGCCATCCTCTCCCACGTATCCCTCTACAGGAATGCTTCCTTCCAAGTATTCACTCGCTGGGTACTGCTCCCCAGAGTGAGGTTGGAACTCCATGATCTGAGATCAAGATAAACATCACCTGTCTGTTAAAGCCCTCTGACTTAGAACAAAACAATACAAAATGAATGAAGACTGTAGCTGAAAACCTTCTGTAGCGCTGTTAGTGTATGAACTACCCTGGCCTATATAATAAGCCATTTGCAAGTTAAATTTGAATAAAATCTGGTACACTGCGTAATTTGATTGTACATAAATTAACAACTTGAATTCCCCAGACTAGGGACACTGTTGCTTTACCTCGTGATTCAGCGCGAGCTTTTGCATAGTGACCATCATCTCTGGAATGGACTAGTTCTTATCCATTGAGAACAGTGCAGTAGTTTGCAAGGTGTCTCTCATGTAACTAAGCAAGAGCTTGCCCCGAATCAGGAGGTACAGCAACAGTGAGTGGTTTTAGTAAGGAGAATTCAAACTGTTATGTCCACATGAATTTAAAGAACTCAGTGTACCGGTACTAGATTCTATTCAAATTTAACTTGCAAAAGGATATTAATTATTATTATTATAATTATTAGCCTGAAAGTATCGGCAAAAGCTACACCACAGAGAACCCTGTGCACAAACCATGAATATGAAACTTTGAAAGTGCTTTCTACATGTGAGTGCATACCTATTTTCACAACTAAATTTGACTTTTTGACAGGCAAAGTATGTACGTGTAGGACACTGCAATAAAAGGCCTGTTTGGAATTTTCCCCCAAACTGATGTAACCTCCAACATCCACAGTGGTTATTTACATGCAGTTGCTCCCTGTGACAGCTGATCTCATTACCAAAAAGTTGAGATAGAAATACAGACCATATCCAATGAGAAAGAAAGGTGTGGTGTCAATCGTTGTGAGGCCTATTTTGTCAAGACAGTGGATACTTAGCTGTCGCAGGCTAAATTTAACTAAACAATATTTAGCCAGCTATAAGTACGTGTAGACAGCGCCCTCTCTTATGCACATATGAGTAACACTACGAAAGTCATTTAATTGCCACCAAGTTATGAGTAGGGTATATCTCAAGAGCTCATAATATGAACCAGCTGGGTTTGATTCCCAGCTATCAACATTTTTGTCTCTACAAATTAAGAATATTCTTCTTTTATTTTGAAAGTGACTCTAGCATTTGATTGCAGACTATTACATTTTCTTTTCCTGATTTGCAATGATCTTTTAAGAGAAAAAAGTCTGAAATTTATTTGCAAAAATGTGATTCCCACCTTGCAAATATGAAGTTATAACAATATGTTGGCATCCAACCAGACTACGATTCATCAAAGGGGCCTAGATTTTAAAGTACTGCACATGTGGCTGGCTAAATCTTGTTAATGAAACAAACTATATAGGAAAACTGACTAAATGATTACAGATGAACAAAGAAATTGACTGGAGGGGGATTTGAACCTGCGACCTCTGGAATACTGTACCAGTGCTCTACCAACTGAGCTATCCAGTCTTATCCAGAGCTCGTTTAGTTAAATTTAGCTGGCGACAGCTACATATCCACAACCTTTTGTCAAACGTGATCACCCAGAGTCCCTTCCCCTCCATAACTCTGTGCCTTTCCCTACAACTGGAACTGTGGGGTCCGTTGTGACCCACAGCATGCAGTTCTGGGGGTTGCCTTTTGCCGTTGAACTTGATTCCGGCAAAACCAAAACAAGACATCCAAATATTTAGAAAAAGAGATTTGTAGAGTCCAGTCCAAATGTTTAGAAAAGGGGATTTGTAGGGTCCAAGATACTTGGACTATCTAGAAACCTGTCAAGAGATGGATCATATCTCCATTTTCAAATATCGATACTGAGGCCTAGGCCTATGTCAAATTGAAAAGTAAAAATATGACCATGGAGGTTTTCGCCATGATGTGACTAACAATAGGGTAAGTGTGGGTATACCCGATTGGGGGAGAACCTGATCAGCCGTGATTTTTTTCATATAGTAGGGCCTACACTCTATCCATTTCATTCACGTCACAGTCTGTAGGGCCTACACACTGTGACGTGAATGAAATGAATAGTTTGCAGTTTTAAAAGGGCTCTAATGAGGGCCGATACTAAATTTATTGACTTACATGACTTTTATTTTAAAAAAGAAGCTTTTCATCGAATTTATAAAAATATTAAGACCTTCCAAAAATCCACCATGTCCATATTTGTCATGTGTGTTGGGATTCCGAAAAAAAAATGCAAAAACCCACCGAATTCCCTACCTGGACTAAACTACATACAGCGCACTTCTGAAACGTCTGATTGACAAATCATTACTGAAAACAGAACTGCATCGAATGCGTGATTGTCTTACCGGATTTCAGCCTGGCCAGCAACTCGCACGACGAATACGGAACAGCTTCTGTAGCTGCAATCGAGATACGCCCTCTACGGCAGTCCAGAAAAACATACAGACTGGCGCTCCAAGCATTTGGTCTAGTTCCCAGTTTGGCAGATTGTCTGTTGCCATGCCTAACGTTAACGTCTGAGTATAGGGGGACGTCTACTCCTACTTTTTCAGAAACTCTTTATTTATTTAGGCCTGCATATCCAAGATGAGGCGAGCTAAAGGCATTGGCGCTATAAACAAACAGAAATTGGCGCAGGTAACGTTGTCCATGTATGCCTATGTACCCTAGTCTGCTAGTGCTTCTCCATTTACTCGTGCGTGTGGGTTATGTTAACGTCGTTCATGTACATTGTACGTCCGTGCATATCTGTGTTGTCGGTCATGGTCGTGGGGATTGCAAATTTAGGGACCCCATGCATGATCAACTACTGAACTACTCACTAGGACCTTTATTTCGCCACTTACTGCGAAAACTAATTTGACTTGTGTCAGTGAGTAGCTAAATTAATTAGGGACCTGGCGACTGTATGTCAGGGACGTTAGTCTTGGCCTACCCGCAGACATGTCAGAGCTGCGGGGTTTGTTGTCGTACCATGGGCAACTCATACATTGGACAGCTCGTACCTTGGGCAACTCACACCTCCAGTTAAGTCCACTTGTACCTTCTTGTTATCAATTGTAACTTTCTTGCTTATCCTTTTCAGCATGTTTAAGATCAGATGTGACAAACATATCAAGAAAAATCTTCATTAATCTCCCGGAGAGATCTCGAGCACCAGCATGATTTTCTGCAAAATGCCTGCCATGGGCATTTGTGCCATCAGTTTACGTGATGTATGTTGAACAACCTGATCTTTTACCAACTTGACTTCCTTGTTAACATTCCTTTTGGGTGGGGGGAGGACTTCAGGTCCTACTAAACTCTTAATTCTGTTTTTTAAGGGGGCACTTAAATTTCTTTTCGCCCTGGGAATGCAACGACCATTGGACGCATTGACCAGGGTCAGTTGCCTGATCGCGCATGCACATCTTTGACGTGTCTCACATTAATGTCACCCCATTGGCATGTAAGGAAGGCAGTGTAGCCAAAACAGCAAATCAGGTGACGAACACATGACTAAGAAATCAAATTATTGTTCAAGTTAATTACAATAATATATGCTCTGAGCAAGCTCTGATTTCTGTGAAGGTACGAGTTGTCTCGTACGCAAAGGTATGAGTTGTCTTTACTGGAGGTACGAGTTGTCAAAGGTGCAACTCGGGAAAGGTATGAGTTGGTATAGTTACGTTGAGTTGATGGTACGAGTTGTCCAAGGTACGAGTTGACCCGTTCCCATACGGACAACACTAATTTTGCCTTAAAATGTTCCAACAGCCATTAGAAAGTGATAATATGTCCTGAAAAGTGAAATTTAGCTGGGAAAATTTCCAAACATTTTCTTAGAAAGCACTTTTATTTCAGGCAAGTCTTATGGGTTTGTGCACAGAGGCTTTGACCTTTGTCCGTATATGAAATTCTTTCCCATTATCCTGACTTCAGTGGCTGACTTCTGTTCACATTGGCTGCACCATTTTAAGGGAGGATTATCTTGCTGTCATAGCACGTGTATACCGTTGTTGAAGTCTTTCCCTTTTTTTAATCAACTTCTCATGTAACCAGGCCAAGTACAAGGACAAGGGTAGCGAGATAGCAGAGGACCAGCTTAGCCAGATGTCCAAGATGCTGGAGGCCTTCCGCACCAACCTGGAGGAGTTCGCCACTAGCCACAAGAACGACATCCGCCGCAACCCGGAGTTCCGAATGCAGTTCCAGGAGATGTGTGCCACAATCGGGGTAGACCCACTGGCTTGTGAGTGGCCATAAATCGACACAATTTGGATGAATGCATTACTATGTCGTGTTGGTCAAAAAGCGTATCATTTTTCTGTCATCTGTTTTTGTACAAATGATATGCATTTGGTAGGAGGTTAGGGTACACTTTAAAAAAAAGTTAAATGACTGTGATAATGCACAGCACAGAAACCATAAGCTTTCCTTTCTTGCTTGTTATCTCTACAATGGGAGAGAAGGGGGCCAAACAGGTGTACTTTTTAGATGATTGTAAAAATAAAGAACAAAACTTAATTAAGTGCAATTTAGTGAAAACAGAAACAAATGCCCAATTTTAATGCTGTACTTTGAAGTCTCTCTCCAATTTAGAAATTGTGCCAAGGTAAAAGTAGCCTTGGCCAGGGCCATTTTATTTTTTTCACATGTGCGATGTATCTCTTGAGTCAGTCCTATGTGCTTGTTCTCAAATTTTTGCTGGCCCTACTTATGTGCACATGCATGCACTTACCAAGAATTAATACTGTGTGTCAGGCCTTTGGGACAAGTAAACCAAGCTGACCAGAACAGGTATGGCACAGTGGCCACAACATCAAGACAGCCTCTGTCATAGCTATGCATAACCTTGATGAAATGATATCAAGTTTTGTCAGTCGGGTGCAATTGACTCGATAGCGTTGTGACATGTACATTCCTTGGAACGATTTCCTTCAGCTGGCAAAGGTTTCTGGTCTGAAATGTTGGGGGTGGGCGATTTCTACTACGAGCTGGGCGTGCAGATTATCGAGGTGTGCCTGGCGACACAGCATCGCAACGGGGGCTTGCTGAGCCTGGAGGAACTACTGAAGAAAGTGAGGGCCACGCGGGGGCGATCAAAACAGGCACAGGATGTCAGTTTGTAAGTGCAGAGGGTATAGAAAAAAACTACACCTTCAGTGGAACGGGTTGATAAGGACATGCTTGCATGACTTGGTTATTTACTACAGAAGTGGCAAAGTTCACTTCTCACTAGCGGCCTTAGTCTGAAACAGCCCCAGCATCTCTTGCAAAATATAGAAATATGCATGTTTCAGTTATGCATCAATTCACATAACAACAGTGGTGGCCAAAATGCGTGTTGAATCCTACAGAATTTAATCGGGAAATGTAATCAAATCCTTGACAGCATTTTCTCATTAAGGAGATCGGGGTCTGTGGCAATGTTTCGTTACCTCAACAGTACTCCCTAAATCTCACAAATAGTCTGTAGTTTTAGCATTGAACTTTTTTGACTTCTGGACAGAGATGACCTGATGAGAGCCATTAAGAAGTTGCGAGTTCTCGGCAATGGGTTTGCCCTGCACAAACTTCAAGATGGCCGCTACATCGTCCAGTCTGTCCCCGCAGAACTCAACATGGACCACACAAGTGTACTGAATCTAGCAGAGGTATTACGTCATTAAACATTTATAACTACCTCCTGGTTAAACACGGCAAAGTTACCACATTGATGGTTCAACAGCATTTACTCAACAAATTATTTAGTAATATTCGTAGTATTATGAAATTATATTAGATAAAAAGTACTTTAGAAAGGATTTTAACTGAAAGAGAATTTCACTCAGTGCTCTCATAGAGCCTGTGAGAATTAAACTTCATGGCCTTGCTGGATGGCGCTTTTATTGAGCCTGCTCCGTCCCACTTATTAATCCAGCAGTCTGCGTCCACTTGCTGTCAACGTTATCCTCTGTCGTCTGCATTTAGGTCTGAGCATGCAAAAGAAAACACATGTGAAATAACGCAAATAAACTGTTCTTTGAGATTGCCTTGCATTTGATGCTGTTGCTTGACACGTGACCTGTCACCGCAAAATGAACTGAAAGTCGGAATTTTCAAAAACTGAGATGTTGGTATTTTTGAATTCAGCAGAAAGAGAGCTTTCCTATTATATGTACATGGAACACTTAGGGTAAAAGTAAAAGTTAACAATCTGGCATTATTCTGGCAGCTTTGCGTCTTTGTTCCCGACATTGTTTCAACATTTCAGACCAGGCACGAATAATACTATTGTCAAAATTGCTGAGAAAATGACATTTTCAAGTATGTGATTCTGCGAAATATTTGGAATTAGATAGAAGACAGGTTAGTCTTTCCAATGATTACAAAACCCAAAAATTGACCTCGACTTCAATATGACTTTGAACCCTGAAAATAGGAAAGCGTGGGATGCAACTTTACTCTCATTTTGTCGTGACACGTCACAAATATGTCTGTGTTTTAAGTGGGTTGGGAAAAGTAACAGGCGTAATCCACTCCAAGCCTATGGTTTGTATTTTTTGTGGTATTTTGTAGGGCACAGGTTACACATCTTTCACCAAGTTAAAAGAGCAGTTGAAATGGGATGAGGACAGAGCACATCTTGTTATGGTGAGTCGGAGAAGCCAACAAATGGCATGCGTCAAAGTAATTGACCTGTTTAGTAGAATCATGTCAACGCAGCTTGGGAAATATTGTCCAGTTACATGATTTATGTAAAAAGGACGTTAGATGCACAAAATCAGAGACAAAGCCTGATGTACAAAATTCCATAGGATTGTCAAAGGGCCATGGCTAATGCACAAATGGTGATTGGTCATTTTAGTGGGCATCACACTACAGGGTTATAACACAATGCATCACAATGTGAGACTGAATCCAAAGGACCTGGCTGTGGCTATGTTATCCTACGAAAAGCATTGGTTAGAAGCTGCAGCCACTCTCCCTTGAGTCGTGTGTTAGTCCTAGCCACAGCCAGTTGATTCAGACATGGCTTGGGTCTGCAGTGCCACAACTGAATTTTAAAAAAGCAGAAAAAAATCTTAGAATTTCTCAGATTAACGCTTAATGTTGATAAATTGTTTAAGGCTTCAAATGCATTTGTTGGGTGGTTTCCTGACCAACCAGCGCACTCCGTTTGTAACAATTAAGTAATTTTGTTACAAAGATCCAATTTTGGTATTTAGAAAATTTGTTTCTAATAGACTTTGTTTTCATATTAAGGTCGCTTGTGTTTTAGGCAAAATCAATTTCAGGATTTTGTAAATTTTGTTTTGGCAGGACCGTATGGTGCAGGAAGGGCTGGTGTGGGTAGACGACCAGAACAGAGGAGAGCGTTTATACTGGTTCCCGGGTCTCTTTCCCGACACAACTTGATGCATTCAAGAATTCCAAGGGGCGCCGTACTACTGAAAAGTGGAATGGGCATTGTACAGTACTGCATTAGAAGTCCGGTTAAACACTTGGATAAAACAGAAACCTTGTATCCAAGGCACCATTGATTGCCTTGAAAGTTCTGGGGTTCCACCAGTTTTGGATAGTTTCAGGAGACATTGACCGTTTGGTTAGAGAAACTGGTACTTGTTTTCCACAGTGATTCAAGGGAACATGTCATATGACCGCATTAAACTATACCTCGCACCAGATGGTCACAATAACCACAGATTGCCACAAGAGAAGTGAACTAAAGGACTACGGATATAGGCTCACCTTGTACAACATTGATCACATGAATTCAGATCACGTTGGCATTTTCTGAGGAAACCGTGTAAATGTGCCAAAATCCCACACAAAACTTTTCATTTTGGACATTGAGACCAGTAATTCTGTAAAGGCAGATGGACCTTACAGTCTTGTATCCCTGAAAAAAGTAAACAGCCTTGGTGTAGATTTTGTTGAATCAAGAGTGGTCATGTTCAGCGTAATAGTGGCAGATTTCGGAACATCTGTGAGGTACAAGCTTCATATTTGAGGTGCCCGGAGTTCCAATCTTGAGGCATAAGGAATGGTCCAGTTACCTTTATTTTTATTAAAAGCTGGTCATACAAAAGCATTTAGAAGTAACCGGTTTGAGGGAATTGTCATCAGAGTATAGGCCATCTGAGAGCTGGAAGCAAAAGAGGAAACTGGTGCGGCCAAAATTTATGAAGTAAGCACAAATTACCAAGAGTTTCCAGTGGACTGGAAGTAAAGTTACCTGTTGGAAGTGTGCTCATGAATTTCTTGGCAGTTGACATGTCCTGAGCACTTTAGAAATTGGAAACTATGATAACTTAAAGAGACTGGTTTTTGCTTGGAATCGTACCTAATCTTCAAGGTATCAAATATCGCAGTCCCTTCTTTGGAACCCAAACCTGTACCTATATTGTCCATTTTCCCCTTTTCCAAAAAGGACCGTGTTTAAGGTTCCTTATAACTATCAAGGAACTACCTTTTAAAAGGATAATTATATACTGTATCATTGTGTAAATAAATAAAGTCATAATAGTCTTGTGGCACTTTAATTGTTAGTAGTTGATCTTTCATTTGTGTGGAATAGCATCACAGAGTACGTGCTGGTAAGGAAAGAGTTCGATATACAGATACTTGGTGTCTCTGTGCACAAACCTATGCGAGTCTTGCCTGAAAAAAACTAGTGCTTTCTAAGTAAATGTTTGGGAATTACTGGTACATTTCACTTTCTAACAGCTGTTATAACATTTTAAAGGAAACCCAGTGTTGTCCGTATATGGAACTCTTTGCATTGGTAAATGAAGAATTATATCAGGATGTGTATTAACTAGGCTGAAGTATTCAAAGTGTAATTGTTGGGACTATTATACTCAAAATGACTCTAAATCCCTACCTAGTGCGATCTCGGTGACTTGGGTGATCCGATCGGTGATTTTGTGGATCTCATAGGCGAGGTGGGTGACCATAAAGATAACCCCGGCCCGCTTTCATCAGCAGCCAGATCACCGGACGAGGAGGATACACCGCCGGGCAACATCCCTCCATTACCGGCCTCCTGGATCAGTTTAATCCGGTCTCTCAGTAGACCAATCAGCTCCATCAAATCCTCACAGCTGCGCAGCTTACTTTCAGATGCGGCTAGTAGGCGCTCCAGGTGTTCCAGCCTGGCGTCCGTCTCCGTCTGTCTTAGCACAAGATGATGGAGTTGTCGCTTTAGAGACGATCATAATTGCATTTTAGTACAGACAATTTTTTAAAAGAATGAGTCAAAATGTTACATTATGTTCGTGTGAGTAGCAGGCTCAATCCATCCAGCTTAATGTAGCAGGTCACTGTTGGGCCATGTCGTTCTAAGCACTGAAGTAGAAATTCCTGAATAGGTTGACGGAAACCCAATAAAAAACAATGAATTCTTCGCCATTAGTACTTCTGATTTTTTATTTTTGTACATTTTTTATTTGTTTTGTGCGACCTTACCACACTATTACCTTTAGGTGTAAAAAGACCAGTACGTGACCACGTAAATTACTGACTTCATTTCGCACCAAAGAATCGAGGACTGGACTGGAAGACGGAAAATGAAGCCAGGTAGAACGACGTGCGGCATATGCATATTATGCGCAGGACGCATAGGCCTTAAGTACTTCCTGTACACTTTCTGAGCATCATGCATATAACGCACGTCGTTCTACGTCGTCTCCTTTTCTGTCTACCGACTGGAATGAGGAGCACTTACTTTGAAAAGGAACTTTCAGGTGTGTGCGCCCTTCTATTACCTTTGTGAGAAAAAAATATATATCGACAATCAACCTACAAGAGGAAGTGCAAACACAAAACCTCCAATGGCGTGTTTACCTCCAGAGTGTCCAGGCAACTATTAGATGCCGCCCCTCCCACGATCTCTGTGGGCTGATCAGAAATGCTGTTGCAAACTTTTCCAGGAATATTCATGTCTTTGGGGGCACAAGGCTCGCCATCTTCAGCCGATTGAAACTGCTCGCCGTCCATTTTTCTCCGGTCAGCTTGGTGCGTGGTGAAAGATTGAAACCGCCTCCGACTTGCGATACAGTGCAAGAGCAGCTCGAAGAGGATTAGTTGTGACGCAATAGCTACAGGTGCATGCAAGCTTCAAGCTTCAGAAGAATCTCATCAAGACCATGTTTTATTGTGTTTACATTGTAAGTTTGTGAAAGGGAACGGTCGCCTCACACGTCAATAGCTGCAACCTTTTCGGTGTATTAGATAAGTCAATGAGACAGCAGTTCGATTAGCAGATGCAATGGGCTGAGTGATCAGACTTTTAATGAGGAAACGGTAACGGTTGAAAAAGCGTAAAAAAAAGACGAGAAGAACGCAAACGATTGGTTACCAATAGACCCCTCCCCTGAGCAAAATGCCCTACTATTGTTGAAAGGACCAAGGTTACAAGCGACTCTACCAGACACAAATTAATCACACTGACGAGCAATTTTGTAGTGCACATGACCTGCTATGATTTTACGATATCTTTGGCATAATTGTTGAATGGAATAATGGCCACATTATTTTGCACACGTTCTGGAAACTGAAAATGTGATGACTGGGAAAACAACACGGTACCCCCAGCATGTCGTAAATTCGGCGCCATGGGTCCCAGTGCCATTTCATTGATCATAATTGTTTTTACCTATAGGGCACCTTCCTCTCAAATTTTAGCCAAGTTTAGTGAACCGGTTGGCAGCGTTAAGTCCACCGACCATGGCCAATGAACCGACACCATCAGACCAATTAGGCATTCGGGCGTGAGGGTCCATGCGCTTTCCACTCCTATATTTGATTTAAAAATGAATCTGGTTTTCAAGTGGAATGACCATGGTATCAACAGTGAAAAAAAAAGAAATGTCCTGTTTGTCCTAAAGTGGATTTGAAATAAGAACGACAGGTTTTATGTAGCGCTTATCAGGTCAAAGCGCTATTATTATTACCCTTGCTTACTGGGCCCTTGAACCATTCCAAATACCATGCAGCTCCCTGGGAAGTGAAGTATATAGCTCGATGCAACCATGCCGGCTCAAAGCAGCTATATCAACCACTATAACCACCTCTGCCCTCACAGGGCACCCAATTACTCCTGGGTGGAGAGAGGGAAATGAGTGACAAGGTGCCTTGCTCAAGGACACACGCACCATGACACCAGGCTGGATTTGAATCCAGCAACCTGCAAATAGGCTTTACCTGCCGACTACTTACTCCAATGCTCCTAACCGCGAGGCCACACGGCACGCCACAGCACGGGCGACGCTAGAGGGGGTGTCTCACCCCCATTGGTTAGTTTTGTCGGCACGGATAATGAAAAGGGAAAGGAAAGGAAAGGAAAGGAAAGGAAAGGAAAGGAAAGGAAAGGAAAGGAAAGGAAAGGAAAGGAAAGGAAAGGAAAGGAAAGGAAAGGAAAGGAAAGGAAAGGAAAGGAAAGGAAAGGAAAGGAAAGGGGATACAGTAATAGAGGGACCTCAGATTAGCGCCGTCTGCGTGCCTCTCTGTGTTGAACGTCATCGCGCGCGAACGCGGAGTCGACACAGTACATGGAGTATCTGGCTCGTAAGTATGACGCCACTTCACGACCATCGCAGGTACGCTAGTTCGCGGTAAATTTTCGTTATTTTTTCTTTGATTTACGTGTTGAGTCATCCTGAAGGACTCTTCCACAAAAATCGTCTGCCTGAATTGTCTGAATTTAACATACTTTTATGCATTTTGTGTCTTGACTCCTTACTTTCAATCGTCTGATCGTATTAAGAATTGAAGCTGACACATACAGCCTCGTTCTCAAACGCGTAAGTGCGCAGATTGACGCTAAAAGCGTCGTATTGGGATCCCTCTATACACTCGTTTTGCGTGACAGTCCGTCGGCAAACTTGGTAAACCCCCCCCCTTCAAAATGGTCTAGCGGCGCCCGTGCTCCACAGGCAAAAATTTCCGAAACAAAATCCTTTTCCTTTGTCGATTCGAAAATGCAAAACAAAAATCTGCAAAACAAGTCAGTTTTCATTTTTTTCCCAATTGAAAACACAAAGAAACAACTGTTTTGAACAAACCAAAATCACGCTTCACAACAGTAACCCACATTTCCCTCCAACTGCAGCACGCCTGCGCCTATATGACTTGGGTCAGCGGGAAGTCGGGCTAATTCACTGACTTTGTTTCTCCTTTAACTTAGTAAGAAATTCCTAATGGTCCTATAATCGAAGACTTGCTTGAAGGGGTCAAGTCATGCAACATTATTAGCGGATGGCTTTTTCTCATTCCTCAAAACGTGTATTGAATATATAATTCCTCGTTCTCAAATAGAAACAAGAACAAACACTTTTTTGTAAAAAACAACAACTGGAATTTCGAAGTTTCATTTCTCATACTGCAAAAAACAAATGAATAACACATACCTAAGAGTGCAATCAAACTCGTAACGTCAATTGAAAAAGATATTCAAAGACGAGTACTTTTCTCTTCCATTTACTGTACATCAGTAATTTATTACAAAATAAATTAAAACACACATATCATTTTTCCTGTTAGTCAAGCATAATTTACATATAACACTAGTTACATGAAACAAAATGCTTAAAATATGGTACAGTTTATCTACCAAAATATATCTATTGACTTGCAACTTGCAACTGAAAATCCCCATGCTCCCATTAAAAATATTCCTGATACAAACAAAGAAATCCGCAACACGGGTACTCCCATTAAGCTTTCTTGCATGCATATCAACTCTGATTTTCTTTAATTTAATTCAATTTCTTATTTCATGTTTCCACCGCTGGAAATACCACGTTCTTAAGAGGAATGGGGGTATTTGGAACCGAAGCGGGGTTGCTTAAACTTGGCACTCCATCCACTGTGGTACGTTGTAGAGCGGTCACTTCTACCATGGGGGTCTACCCGGAACCGGTTGCAATCGTAACGGGACCTCTGTATAACAATAAGCCAAACTCGTACAACCAAGGTTGCAAAGTTTCACAAATGTAAAAAAAGAAATTCAATGTCAGGCGCGGATCCAGGAGGTCGGAACCCCCCCCCCGACAAACAAGGGGAAAAAATGGGGAAAAACAAAACAAATAACTGAAGTAAATTTACAAACATGATAGCAATTCCGCACATTCTTCTCATGTGTACACCAATACCATTACAAACAATGTATGTCATGCAATGCTTTACCGTTATTTCCGCTATGAGGCATAAAAAAAACCTGCGGCCTGACACCCCCCGGAAAAATTCCTGGATTCGCCCCTGCATGTATATAGCCACAGCTGATTTCTTGCGGTAGTAGGTTAAGTTTTTGCTGCTGTACAAATTGTTTTAGCCCGTTTCATCCTGAAGCTATATTGCACACAAATATAATACAACATTAGGACGCAGTACATTAAAAAGCACACATCACGTAAATCTGGACTATTTTTAAAGTCGAAATGAAGTTACAAACTGAACCACTATTTCAAAATGTCACCCGGCAGCATATAACTAATGGAACAGATTTCAAGGCGCAGATTTTTCATGTCATGATACCCTGAAACGCAAAACTGGAATCTTCAATACTGAAGTCAAAATTTGTGATTTGTTTCGAGAACAAAATAAAAATATCTGAATATATCCAAACCTCACAAGCACATTCAAATCAATGCACACATAGTATAGCAATTAACAAACTACAACCTGTTATAAACTATAATACTTATAGGCCTATTACTACATTAACATTCAACGAAAACTAATCGGTCGTGGCGGAATATTTCGGTTTCAAAATATGGCGCGTTTAAGCTACGTATATTTTGGTTTAGTACAGGATTTCTGTAAACCATTTATCGTATGTAAACGAATGCATCGATTCCAGGAAGTTGAGGCCCTGTTGAAGTGAGTATGGGATATGAATACGATATTTTGTATTCCAAATGCGATGCATCAAACCATATTTATCTGACTAAGCAGTGATAGTCCATATCGATGCATTTCGAAGGATCGATACAGGAGTCACAGTGGAATGCTCAACGAATACAATAATATTTTGTTATTGTTAAATGGTAGCACCCGCAAAACGCTATAGTACAAAAACAGGGGAAAACTATCCCCAGTGGCATACGTCCAATCGATCGGATTGCTTAATACACACATAACCTTGTCAGCTCAAAATTGTTGTGGGGTCTAAAAATCATGCTCGGCGTACAGCAATTTATATTTTTACTGACATGGAAAACAAGGCTTCCTACTTTTATTTTCGTTTTCCTGTTGTTTTTTTTTTCTGGGCAAGAACAACTGAAAACATGGTTCATACAACGTGACAGCACATTTTAATACTATACGGTTTGGTATGGACTATTCAAAGATTCACTGGCAACGTACACACAAGGATTGACGTTACAATTTTCCATGATTAACTTGCTACACAATTAGAAACCATCCAGGAAGAAAATCGTCTTGTTTCTTCTCACAGTTCGTAATGGCTATTAAAAAACTATCCCGGCATTCTAAACTATACTTTCAGGATCACAATTCACCTCACTTCTTTTTTCCCTGGACACAGTCTTCACATATTATCAGCACATATTTACAATTGAAGGTTATTTACATTAGTAGCACACCACATTATTTACAATATATATTTCATTTAAACCACAAATATATACATCTACCTCAAGAAATGCAAATTTTCTCTTTTAGAGTAATATAAACTTAAAATATCAAGGTCCTAAAACAGAAATGGAAAACCATCTCTATCAGATTACTGAAAGTAATAATCTGTAATTCAAACACCTCGATTTGCATTCCTTACTAGTAATTACACTTCCTTTGGGAAAATATATATATTAATAGCACATACTAAGTACTTTGTAATCTTTAAGTACAAGGTGGTACTAGCTTGTTCAAATTGCTGCAAGATTTAAATCATGTATTGCTACTTGTCAAAGTTAAACTGGTTCACTATGCCTTTTTTGCTTTATGAACAAATACAGGTTGCACCCATTTTACTTATCAAGGAATACGTGTGCTTTATCGGACAACAGAGCGACTATTCATATTGAATTGCTTCATAATTCACACAACCCACCAGCAAGTCTTTCTGTGAAAATGAACGGCAAGCTGTAAAGTTTGAACAGAATCCAACAAATCTGGAATTTCTATGAGCAGGATTACTTCCCACTTCTTCTTCGATAATCCCTATACTTCTTTAGACACATGAAAATACTTCCCACTACTTCTTTGATATTCTTCATTTCAGGAATATTGTGTACAGTATCTGCACAGCAATACCCTCCTTTTACCAACGAAGCCTGTTTAAAGGTGTGCACTGCCAGGTACATGTATTTTATTTTGAACATTTCTATTATTTTGTTAGTTTCCTTTTCTTCTTGAACCCCCATTTAAGCCTCACAGATGTAAGACCCAAATGAATGAACTGTATCCCTGCCTCTCATGTATTTCACAAATATCTTGCTGACAAGTAGATTGCTAATCATAGGTTTTAATAATTGGCACCACTACGGCCAAAATAAAGTATGCTATCACAGAGGCATACATTTTTAAGCCAAAACTATTTCTCCACATTTGTTTCCATCAAGTAATCCTCGTAATTCAAAAGACGTAAGCTAACTGTGTACCTTTGGTGCAAAGTTTAACATCTAAATTAACCCTAACAGTCCTCAATCCTTCACCTGTTGGAGGATTGAGGACTGTTAGGATTAATGTTGATCCATTCTTCCACCTGTATAAATTTAGTTTGCATTATCTCTGGTTTTATTCAAAGTTGACAGGCATTTAGATGGGCATGTTCAAAAGGGCTCTAGTAAAATAAAAACATCAACTATTAATTAATTAAGATTTAATATTAAGTGAATTAGCACCTGTTAAGGGGGGAAAAACACTACCTAAGACTGGTACACTGTGTGTGACTTCATAGCTCAAATACAGTGCCACAGTGAGCGAAAATACATGCATGCAATAAATGAAGCAGAATGCTTCCATGCTTCAGTATTTAGCAATATGAGGAATTCAGGGAGTGCAATGACGGATGTTTCAAAAGTATTTCAGCAATTGAAAATGTGGCAGTGCACTGCCTATTTTTAAGTGAATTCACTTGAAATGTCTTTCCACTCTATTACTCTGTGATACAATTGCCTAGGATGAATAGTTTTTTGGTTATCACATTGCTGGAAACATCTAACTTTCGAGAAGGGTAATTACTCAAAGTTCATTTGGGAGTCCAACTTCAATTGTCTACCCAGCAGGAAAACATGTATCATGTCATATTGGCTTTCCACAGCAATACTGTTTTGATCTAGTACAGGGTTTAGTGCAAAATTCCATCATGACACAAAGCAGATCTCCTGTATCTTGGGCGGAACATCCTACATTAATTGAGCATCTATCTATAACCGATCAGTGTGTAATTCATTATTATCCCTACTCCCTGAGGCCAAGAACACTCCTGAGGTCCATCCCTTCTCCCTGAGGCCAAGAACACTCATGAGGACCACCTCAGCTCCTTGAGGAGTAGACAAGTTGATGCTGACCTTTCTGGCATAAATCTTAAGCACAATAATCCAATCTCGCAGGTGTCCATTGATACTCCAGTAAGGAGAAGAGATAAGTTGGCAAGTAGGTAAGTGGGTCACATACAACATGTAACCAGCTATTGGATTTGACCCCCCCCCTTAGATTAGAATTTTAAAACTCTTACAATTAGGTCACAAGTCCCCATCAATCTTATACTATATGGGCAATGTGACTTGGCACTGTATGGTCAATATTACTTAGCAATGATAAAAACTTGAAAGAAAATGCTTGCGTGCAGTCTTTTGTAATATTTCCCATTGAGCCAAACAAATCCCTAAGGGCAAGTGATTCCTACTTGGGACACGGGTGGTTAGTTGCAAAATACTGTTACACGCAACAGAGGCAAGGGGGAAGAAAATAATATATATGTGAAAAAAAACACACACTTTTTAAAGACTTGCTAGATGTGGACTGCATCATCGCAAATTGATGAGGTTGGGAGTGCCTTCCAGGAAATAGGTCAGCATTTCTCCTTTGCCTTTGACTGTGATGTAGCCCCTCTCAACAACAGTGTAGCCGGCCGGCTGTAGGATGTTGGCCATGTCTTGTGTTATCTGCAACGAGTATTATAATGGATTAGCGGAGTCTTCAGCGGGTGGGCTCGGCATCATAGATGTAATGTGTTCAAGAGGCCATGACAAACTCCACACAAAAAAACAGGGACAAGTTTGAAAACTGGAATTCCAAACAGTTTGTTATACTGTGCCAAAAGCAAAAGCAAAAAAGACCCCCCCCCAAAATGCCAAATACAAAAACCTCAAAGTGAAACGGTGCCCATTCTTCCGTTAATATAGAGGATATAGATAGATATTAGATGGTTTGACAACACCTTCTCACAAACTATTATCCAGGCTACCCTGTTCCCACTGTCACTGAGAAAGTCTATGTGCCTAAGCAAAATAATCCATTTGAGAAAAGTAGATGCAAGGAGTGCTCCCTTGTTTTCAACCTTCGGAAAAATCTACCGTAAAAGGCTTCATAAAATCTCTGGATGGCTGACCCAAACAAATTTGGTAGCGGAGTGGATGACATGAATCGTATGACCAACCAAAGGTTGTGGGCTTAGCTAACACCACACTGAGCTTCAGTAGACATTTCTTGCGAGCTCTCAAAAAGCAACGAGCTGGCACAGCTGATTGTACAGATTTAAAAAGGGTAAAGTCCTTCTTTAAAATCCTGTGTCGTCTCTGTCGTCTGTCCTCCTTAATTCCCCGTCCATGTCCTTTCGCTGGTCAATGCCACCCACCTGTATTTTATCCGGGACGCCAGTGCTGTCCATGCGGCTGGCAACGTTGACCGTGTTTCCCCAGATGTCATACTGTGGCTTACGGGCACCGATGACCCCCGAGACTACCGGTCCTACATTCAGACCTAGGATGGAGGGGGGGGGTTTCAAACATAGAGATGACGTTGTAACAAATCCCAGCTGCCACTACAGGTTGTTTTCGAGAATGGAGGGGATTCACAGGACTAGACATACCAACAAGTGTTCATCTTGAACATGAGTTAAAGGTAAGTTGCCTATGTACACTGCCCTTCATGTTATTATCCACTCTTTGTTGCTTACAAGCATCAGCTTATAGAAAGGAATCTGACAGCCACTTAGTGAACACATAAAAAATTCCAACTTTAATCGCATGTGCCCAAAACCATTCCGAGTCCTTGAATAATTTGAATACCATTTGACATGTGGATAAAGACTTTCCTGACAAAGTTGAAATTTATCTCTATGACTGACAATGAGTTTTTATCTCAAAGGCTTTAGAATGTTCGAATTTAAAATGTAGAAACGTTCAAGCACTTGCAAAGAACTATGGATAGACGGATGATAAACTGAAGGGTATAATGATGTTGGATGTTGACTGTAAATCATGAGGCAATTGGTAGAGTGTTGTTAATGTGAATTGCTTCTGGGAGGGATTTATGGACATCCTGGATTCAACTCCATCTTTGGTTTCAGGCTTTACTTTCATGAATGTAATCCCCTGATTGGAGACTCTCCAGCATAATTCCCTGCTGCGGTTCAATTTTCTGCAGCGGAAATGTCAAGCAGCCTCTAATGAGTTGGGAGTTTGGACCGTTTCAAACTAGTTCCATTTAAACCGGTAACATTTAAGTCAGACCTACTAAGTTGCACACCCCCAGCATGTGTCTCCTATGCCTCAGAGTTTATTCACACCCTCACAAGCTGGGCAAACTGTATCACAAGCCTAAAGTCCAGTTCATACCTCAGGCGAAAGCGAATACGAAAAGAATTTGTCAGAGAAACGGCACACGTCACAATGGAACTTTAATTGTTGACGTCATGAAATTCACTTTGCATTCGCTTTTGCATAAAGTATGAATCGGGCTTTAGGCCTTGTGTTCTAAAAAAAAAATCACATTCTTGCCTGAAACTAAAAACAGGCTTTATGTTTCAGGCTTTCGGTCTGTGTGTTTTGGCGACCTAGTGTGGTTCTGAGTGATTACAGAAAAGTGCGAGTGCATGATGTCGGAAGCATGGTTCTTGTGTTGGTCACAAAACCAGGTTCGAAAAGACAACACTCTGGGACTAGTACAGCAGTCTATGAGGCTGTGAGGTACGCATTAGTCAAATTCAAACTCGGATCAGTGGCGCATGCATATGCAGTTTTGTAGAATGCGTTCAAGGTGACAGTGGAAATTCAGTCAAACCTCTAGTATCACACTCCCAAGTAATGTCTGTACTTGGCATCTCTGTAAAATCTTATCATGGCTAAGGGAGACAGAGCCAAAGATGGAAACAATGCTGCAATTTGGACACAGGCCCAGCTGCAAGACAAGCATCTCTGTGCTCTGGTGAACCACACTCACCCACTCTCATCTTGAAGCTGTTGAAGGAGTGCTCGTTGACGTAACGGAGCTGGGCCAGTAGGTGGAACGCCAGATCGGCCAGGGCAATGATGTGGGTGTTCCCTTCCCTGTCGAAGGTCTCCTCCGTCAGCCCCGAGGCTGCCATGTAGGTGCTGCCGATCGTCTTGATCTTCTCGATTTGATAGAACCTCTCATCACCAATGATCTAGAGGATGGAACGTGAACAAAAAAGGTTTGACAAAGACAACATGAAATCATGAAAATTGCAGCCAGGATGCAAAAGTTAACCTGTGCCTGAGCAAATACCTTGAAGCGTACGTCATATTTTCTGTAATACAAACTTTAGTTTCAGGACTTCAAAACTGAGAGACTCTACGACTAACGTCACTAGTTTTCATGATTGATGACTTTATTTGCTAACTTTCTGTACATGGAGCCCATTCAAGTTGTACCCTATTTTAGATAATGGTAGGGAACATTCTGGGATGTGAAAGTAGGGTTATTTTGAGGGCTGCTTTTGTTTTGAGGGCAACTTCTGAACTTTTAAAATACCCAAATTTTTTTGACTTAATAATTAGTCCCATAATCTACTGGAAACATTGGACTAATCATTTATTTTTCAATTTGGTCTATTTGAACTTAGCCTGATTTATTATTATTTACTTGTTCACAACTTGACCACCTAGTTTACCATCAATCTATGTGCTAAAGTATTTTCCCGAAATTAAATCAAGTAAAATCCTATCAAATCAACATTCGTTTTGATTCTGACCTCATCAAAATCATGCAGGATTTCGTTCAGGAGTCTCAAGCACTCCACGCCCTCGTTGTTGGCCTCCAGCTCCACATAGAAGTCAGAGAAGTTGGTGATGCTGGCGAACATGACAGCCACAAAGTCGTTGGCCCGGTAGTAAAGGTCCATGTCCCTGGCGTTGTTCTTGAGGAAGTGCTCGGCTACGAAGGAGGGCAGGATGTTGTTGAGCAGGCGCTTGTTGTAGGCTTGCAGGTTGGCCATCTCGTCCTTCTCTTCCGTCGCCTTGGAAACAGATAAATGTGAAACAGGAAAGGGTGATCGGAACATCTGGGGTGACAACGGACAACTGTCAACATGGTCAGTACGCCAATGCTGACTTAAGCAATACAAGGTTGCTCTGTTTTCTCTGTTTGAAAGAACAATCAAATCATTCATTGTTTCAGTGACTGCAGTACCCACTGTTTTACAAACTCGCATGCAAGCCAATCCTCATGAAGTTGGTTATGCCTGCACAAGTTTCTTTGGCAGAAATGGAGCAACACAAAAGCTGATAGTTCTTAAGGAACTGTACAAAAACTGAAGCCCGACAGCCATAAAGCCGAAATTTGAGTACAAGCCCTTTACTTGCAGCTTCCAGAGGAAGTCAAGTCTGGCCGTGGACTCCACTTGCAGGCCATGTATCCACAGGGCAACGATGTAGACCAGGATAAGGACCGGACCGGTGATCCTCATAGAGACGTAGGTTGCACTGTCCAAACTGAAGGTAAGAGATGAAAATGTCAGAGTTGATTAAGGATAAAAACTGCGCAAACCCACAATATGGCATCTTTCAAATCTCATGCAAAGAAAACAGCATTCCACATGGCTTAGTGCGCTTAAACGCTTTTGTAGCTCCTTTCATTTTTCTGTCACTACGATATCTGCTGAACACTGTGAGCCTTTCATTTTGTATCTATAATGCAAATCATCAACATGCACAAGCAAAGAGGATATTGCAACCTCCCTAAAAGACACCCATAACAATGATAAACCGGGCGAAGTTGATGCATCGATGCAAAGGGCACTGTAAAGGGATAAACCACGGAAGCAACATCTGGAATAGAAAGCTTCCAAACCAAACCAACCATAGCCTCTTCGATACTTCGGGCACCGAACAAAATGGCTCATTCTTAGCGTTCATCCCCCTAACCCATACACAGTCACGATCGACAGCCAAACTCTCACTGGTCAATTCATCATCATGTGCAAGTTAATAGCTTTTGCTGTTTCTGGGCAAGCCCGCAAGGATCCACGTACGAGTCAATACTGGACTGTTGCATGGGTGGAGTATACGCATGAGTGACCATAGCCCTCGCTATGCTGGATGTGCGCTTCATATGAACAGATGATGGCATACATGCATGCTGCCTTTCCCTTACTTCTGAAAGCCAACTGAATATGCCTGAGGTAGGGTAAAACAAACGTGACATGGTTTACTTCCACTGGATAGCCAATTTTAGCGTCCTGAGGTACTGCAAGTTGACAAACTAGTTCCAGAGGCAAAGTCTGTAAATGTCAAATACCTATCTGTATGGACTATCTACCCTCAGACTGGTTACGTCTGGGTACTGTCCGCCACCTACCCAATGTGCGCTTCGTGCAACAGGTCGCTGTTGGTGAAGAGGTTGACCTGGGCTGTCTGGATGATGGCCGTGAACACCCCACCGATGAGAAACAACAGACAGAGCTTGGTCATGCTGCCCAGCTGCTGAAACACAGCGCAGCTAATCATGACCAGCATCACGCAGAAGACAAAGTACTGTATGGAGGGAGAGATGGATGTGCTCATCAGCCAGAAATCTATGAAGTGCTCCTACACATTGTAATCATTCATTAATTTCTTCTTTTGGTTTTTAATCAATATTGAGAATATTGCCTTTGTGCGTTTGAGCCCTTGGCCAGCTCAGGAGAATGGACACATGAAATGCCCGAACCGAAGGGGCAAGACATTATCAGTGTCACTTCTCTTGAGCCTATCTTCATTTAAGATCGGCCGAGCACATTTTTATTTCCATTCCTAAATATCTTTTGAGTTATGAAGTTAAAACAAATTTAAAGAATTACAAATTTCCAATGATTTTGCGTGACTATTTTTATTTCATGTTTTTTTAAACACCCCTCTAGCCATGTTACAATGTGTTCCTCTTGTGAGTACATGTAGCGGTAACCAAATCAACCCTTTAACCCCTTGACGACGGGAATTTCTTTCTGAAAGCCGACTCCAAGAATTCCAGCCTCGCTTGGCCACAAAGGCCACCTGCCAAACTGCAAATTCTCAGTTTGTGGCCCCGCGTGCTCTGCACGCCTTGAATTACATGGTGAAAAGGCTGATTGTTCGGTGGCATGCGGCTCCACTCATATTTCCACATCTCCGTTGCCTCTTTTCAAAGTGGGGACTATTGTGAAGCTGGTGATTAGGACGCAAATTCGGTCTTTCCATTTCTGGGCTACACACAAAGGCCAATTACCATACATAATGTACAAGAGCCAGGGTCTGCCTTCTTTCACCGTGTTCGCTCGAGCGTGGGCTGAGAATAATAGCTGAATAGTGGGCTGAGGATCTCAATTTTTACACCGTGTCTTGCCATGTCCCCGCGTGAAGGGGTTAAAACTGGCCATGTGATGGGCTCCTGACCAATAGGAATGGCTACACTGTCTTAGGTATTTTTGAAATGTTACATAAGCATGAACTTGTTTATGCTGGACAATTTACCTTGGTGTCCGTGGAAAACTGCCAATCAAACGGAGGTTTATTATCATAATAAATGCAATAAATACATATTAGAGTGAAACTGAATTGGAAGCATTGTACAAACTTTGCCTTGTTCAACCTTTGTGAATTTTACACCAAAGGACCAAGGTTTCCAATTCTATCAAGAGTGCACTCCTATGTTTAATGTAGACACTGCGATGGCTGTTTCATTTTTAAAAATGGAAAAAACACCACCAAAAAATTGTCTTTTCATAGCTGTGATTCTGGAAATCTGTGTCCAAATCTCAAGTCCTCTCTATTCCTTCCTCAGCACATCCCTTCCTCAGCACCCCCCCCTATAAAATCAGTCCAAAAATGATCCTTAGCAGTGATCAAATTTCTTGGCTTTTCCTTGCTTCAATTCACCTGTGGAAAGTGGCAGGCTGGTCGGTCCCCCTGGCAATTGCTGTTCAAGTTGTTCTCCTCCCCCAGCGTCTGACTGCTGGCGTACACTTCCTCCTTGCCAACATCCGACTCCGAGACGTTGCTGTCTGCGGCGGCCAGACAAGCACGGAGGTCCGTCGTGTCGTAAGCAAACTGACGGGGAGAACGGACGGAGTTGGATGAATCAGCTGATCAAATACTCCTTTACTGCCAACAACAATCTGACACTACACCTCAGTGTAGGAAGAGCTGTATTCCACACACTTCAGTAGCTTCAATAAACAGCAGCCTATCATTATGAGCCTTGTTTAAACTGTAATACAATACCGAGGTCCTGGTTATAAAGGTGAATTACTGTGGTAGGCAGTGCTTGTATAACAAGGCTCTGCAGTATCCAATAATGAACCGTAGTGATCAAGAGTGATAAAAGGGTATCAATACTAACTTTTGATAGTCTATAGTGCCATCATAACAATCACTCCAAACAAAGTACCGGGACGCAAAACTCACAACAGATAAAGCAGGTCATGAGGCGTAACTGCAAAACATCAACGTACTGGAAAGCTATGCAGATATTTACAAGATATGGATCACAGACGCAAACCTGCTGCAGTCTTACTCCACAGTGTTTCAGGCTGTAAGACTTTTTTCTAATCTGTTCAATATTACATATGACAAAACAAGAGTGCTTGTAACTTTCGTAATGGTCAGACAGGGGCATCAGCATGACCTGCAAATGAGATGGATGCCACTGCGGATGGGGTTTCTAAGGCTGGTCAGTATATCAGTCTATACACTGAAACCTCCTTGGCCAAAGCAGTACCAGCCTTCTACCACTCTGTCACTCACCATGGAGCAGAATGAGGCAACAAAGATGATAATGACTGTGCAGACGGCGATGACTGAGCTCAGACTCCTGCTCTCCAGAATGCCATGGGATATCCTGGCAAAGCGATCTGGTATACACTGTTGGGGGTAGACAGGAAAACATGAAGGGACAAAAATGAAACGTTAACTTTTATAGACGACATGCAGAAGTGCTTCCTTGGGCAAGTTCCATTATCGCCACTTTGTTAACCACTGGTCGATTTTGCCTGGTACCTGGTATGTATTTCATGTACAGTTTACCAGTCAAGATAAACCATTGGTTGACAATTTGTCGCTGATCAAACTTGCATCTGAATCAGTGCACAAGGCAGACATGGCAATTACTGAGTGTATGATGCCCACACTATGGTTATGTGCACATTCAAATGAAAATCAGTTGTGCGTAATTTGCGCCTTGCATGCAGGAACCAGTTGGACCTACCAGTAAACTTAGAACTGCATGGGGACTTTGCTGTGTCCTGATGATGTTTTGTGTTACAACAACAACTGTCACACAATATGTGTGTGGTCCCTGAAGCTACAGACAAGTGTATGTGAACATATATTGTGTCCTTTACACTGGACGTCTTATGAATGGTCAAAAAAGCCATCTGTGTACTGCTCCGGAACTGAGGTCAAAAGTGCCACTTAACACTTTCAAGGACAATGCCATGCTCACTCCTACACAAGCGTGAGCATGTGATGCGCTCATTCAACTCGTGTGAGTAGACAGCCCAGAATAACTTAACATCTCCAGCGGAACTGACAAACCAGTTTTCGCCCACTAGTTCAAATGCAACATCCTCCTTATACTTTCCTCTGCATAGTATTCTTGGCTAAGGTAAAAATGCCTGAAGTGGATTCTGTAAAAAAAAAAAAACCACTCCTCTGACTATTTCCAGAAGAGTTGATGACAGGAAACGAACCGAGGACAAGCTCAATCTCTTGTGTATCAGTTCTTGAAACTTCGAACTCTACACGTATGAGAGTGCCTCCAGGACTATTCTCTGCTCAAACAGCTTGGCAGGGGCCCTGGAAATCAAGGCTTTCTAATAAATAAAAAGGCCAGCCAGGGTGCAAGCACAATGCTCACTCGACTCTCTATTCCAGCTGGGAAAACACTAGAAAGGAAGTGATCTTTTCACAAGGACTGCTGCAAATGCAATGGGGATCTTTACTAGTTTCGACATGCCCACATGACCCTGAAAGTGCATGCTTTCTAAAACTGAAACTCAAATGTACTGCTCTTATGAACTACCAACTTCTTGAATGCAAAGGGACAAAAGGTTAACACCGTCCTCTGAAATGCAGAAGTACTGATGAAACCTGCCCTCTGACTGTATTTAAACTTTAGAGATGTGCCAAGTATATGGTTTCTTTTTGAGTACCAGATGTAAACAGAATTGTCACTGTACAGCTGGAATTTGAGGCGGTTTAATCCAATCCCAACTCAGCTGGGAGGAAGTGAAAGATCCTGACTTTTCGAGATTGGAAAGGGGGGGGGGTTTACATACTTAAGTTTACACTCTTCACTTTCTCTATTTGCTCTGCTAGCAACACTGAGACAAGGATAAACATTAAGGTGAAGCAGGTTTGGGTTATAAGAAAGAATTTGGGCTCTGAAGGTCGTTAATCTCTTCAGCCCCCGCCTGCCTCCCCCAAAGGTTCCCTGCTCAGACTCTGGTTGCTATGCTTGAATATTCCTCCGCGTATCTGAACCTGGTAGACTCTGCAGCCCGAGCAAAGTAGTGCAAATAGTTTACAACGGAAATGGAAAAGTAGTACTCACAAAGCACTTTTCTGCGAGGACGATGAAGAGCGTGAAGGCGAGGAGGACCACCGTGCTGAGAAAGACTGCAAGCATCACCATGGTCCTGGCAAACACAAAATCACGAAAAGTTCAACAAAAAATCCATCGTGATACTGCCCTCTTAGTTGCTTATGATTGGGAACAAACATACTGCATCAGGATTAACTGAAGGATAAAATATATCAGTTTATTAGCGTAAGTTCCTTGTACAATGTGGGCGTAGCAAATGTGCAACTGATCTCAGCATGCAAAAAAACATAATAAATTCAGAACAAAAGTTGGTTTTCAGTCGAGTAACATACATATATGTTCTATGGCACGAGCGCGTATGCCCCATCACCAATGACTAATAGTGGTTTGAGGACACTCCCTTGGTGCAACATGTAGGTATGCGTTTTTGCCCGTCCACATAACACACACACTGAAGGGCCACAAATTCCTCTTACCTACTGCACATTTAGGTCAAGAACTAAGACAACTCGTGAGGAAACCGCTGTGCCCTTGCTCAAAATAATAGGTACTCACTTTGGAAAAATGAAGAGCTGTATTATGCAGATGAAGAGCAGAACAAGGAATGCAAACACCATGTAGGAGCTGAACATGTGATCCCTCACCTTAGAATACTGTGGACAAAAGCAAAGTCTTATACTTTAATCAGGATTGGGATCAATTCGTACGACAGAGCTCAATCCCTTTTCAAGCACCATACGTTTGATACATGGAGGTAGTGTATCAGGGGCGGATCCATTTGATTGATTTGCCGAAATCGTTGGTGTTTGACGTGTACATTGAAAAATGTGAATTCCTTATGATGTGGCAAATTTCTTAGGGAGCTGGTCCGGGGCCCTGTGAATGGCAAGGACCGTTGGAATTCCAAATGCTCTGTGGCAGAATCTACTGATTCCAGGAAACAAATTCTGCATGAAAAACAAATATGAATTTTTTACTCTTTAATTTATCTGATGCCAGAAGAGCGGGGGGGTAGGTACCATACTGACCCTGTCCCTTTTAATTGTATTCTCGAGGCATTCACATTTCATCGGGAAAAAGCTTCTCACAAACCTTCTCTTCTAACTCTGGCTTGCGGAATGTCAGCGTCAGTCGCTTGACGTGCTCAGACCGCAGCCTGTCAATGCTACGGGCATCAATGGCGCGACCCAAGAATTCGTTGACCTCCTCATCTGGATCGGCGGCTCTTTTCATGTCCTGCAGGCCCAGTCTAGATAATGAAGAAGAACGGCGGAAAAACTAAGCACCAGGAGTAAGTTCATTAACTACAGTTCATAACTTACATTGTAGTAGTGCACTATCGTTCAGTTTGATGGTTGGAATAAAATCATTGAGTTGAGCGCAAGAGTCTTCTTTTATGCTTGAGTCCAACATCAAAGAACACGCTACAAAAAATGCTTAACTGAGGTCAACTTAATTTATATTCTTAGAATTTACCATCAACAACTTTTGTTCTTTGAGGAGGGTTGCGCCCACAGTTGATTGTCAGTTTAGGGTTGACTATCCAAGTTTGTATTATCAAAAAATCAACTGAAACCAACTCGAAATCATAGAACAATGGTTAAATCCAGGCACACAGTCACTACACACTCCAGGAGGCCCTGAGCAATCAAACCAGGGAAACATCCATTATTCAAAATAACTGACTCTTCATGTTTTTTACTTTTGATTTAGTAATAGTTGACACAAAGTCCTACTGACATTAGCGGGGTATCTTGAGTGTACAGCAACCACACGCCTGGACTCATCTATTTCCTGTACAATAAACTTTGGCATGCCTTCCATCAGAAATCTTCCTCTGTTCAGCGAGTTGATACATTTTGGCTATCGCACACCAGGGGCCAATTTCACAGAGCTGCTTAACCGCAAAATTTGCTTTAGCACAAAAAAATCTTGCTTATAAAACAAAGGTTACCAGATTGTCATGCTTACCAAAAGACAGGTGAATACCATTTCAAAACAATACACATCACATTGAGTTTTGGCTGGTAACCTGATTTATCAAGCAAGTTTTTTTATCACACTTTAGCAAACTTTGTGCTTAAATTGGCCCCAGCTTGTGTATACCACTGGCAAACAAGTATTACAACTGGTTCTCATGGACAGGCCAGATAGCACCCTCACCAAAACTATTCACACAGATACAAAGTGGTTTACGTGTACAGGTACATGTGGGGAAAGACGTGTACTGCATGAATACGAAGAAGATGTGCATTGGAATGGTGTGTATCATAACAAAAACATTGAAAAGTAGGAGGGTTAATTGGTTCAAATCATTTAAATGAGTTTGAACTGGTGATTTCTATAGCCGAGTTGGATTGAACTTTTTCCAGAAAAGTTAAGAACCTGGAACTGATACAAATGCATGTACATGTAGTTAGTAAAATGTATTGGATATAGATAATGCTATAAATAGTGCTATGTTTCTTGTACAGCCTTCTCAATGTATTTGTGTCCTTGTTGGACAGTCTGCTGAATCTGACACAATTCTAACGAATCCTACACAATCCCAATGAATCCTACACAATCCCAACGAAACCTACACCATCCTTCAGTTAATGACAGCAGGGTCTTCTGATCTCTGCTCACAGATCTATCAGGTCAGATGGAAGTTGCCCGAGGTTGGCGTTTGTTAGATCTGGCAGGGTTAACGTTAGTACACAGTGATGCCTCAAGACAGTGCCCTGATAAATGTCAACAATTCACAGGAGTTTACACGAAGACACACACAGATAAACGCGTGTAGTCAGTAACTGCAGAATTACTGGGTTTGCACCTTATGACTGCAAACGGAAAAACTACCATACAGGTACACGTACCATCTATGTTCATGTAGCATGGGCTCCATGCACTAACCATGTGATGTCATTAGGTTTGTCAATGCCATTTCTTTTGAGTACCAATGCTGAAGTACACTGTACATACATGTACTGGTACTCTATGGTTTGTGCACATTCAGCTGAAATGATTCACAGCTTGCAATCCATGTGAGCTATGCTTGTTTTGATTTGAAGCCTTTGAACCTAGCCATATCATACTCAATTGCACATCAATCACCTACTACACTGTATGTAATTACAATTCCATTTACATGTACAACTAAGGTTGAGAGTAACTATGGACCAACTGTCCCTAATTTGCTTGTGTAATATAGGCCCTGACATAATTATATCCAGACGGTACGACTCCTGATAGGCTGGAGATGATGTATATGACTTCCATAAATATCCCATCTGGCTCTCATGATTAAATTAAAGAGACTAGTCTCCAACAGTTTGTGCATGGAACCCACAGGCTTGTTAATCTGAATCCTTGAATTCATAACAGTGAAAGCTGATACTTTAATACCCACATCATGGAATGATATTCCTGCAGAATGGGACTGTATCCAACACGGTATCTGAAACCACAATCAAATCATGCCTATGGTTTATTAATAATGTTTAAACTTGCGGCATGATGAAGATCAATGCCCTCCTGCTCAAGTTGATTGCAAACATGACAAAGAGAGAACTACTGTCCTCTAGAAAATAACCAAGAAACTATATACATGTAATTATGTACAGTGTGTGTGCATGTACGTTTCTGTTAAGAGCACATAACCTTCATGCATTCAAGAGGCATGGCTAATCTGGCTGCCTACAGGGATACCCGTTTTCAGGCAAACTCCTGAGGCTTTTGCATTAAAACTGTTGGGCTAATTTCCAACCTACATGAAGACAACATATAAACAGGGTTCTGAGGCCTTATTTTCAGGCTCAGGGCAGGAAGTTAACTTGCTCTCCTGTACATGTACAGTTACCTGCATTTTTAGATTTTTTAAAGTTGATCTATTCATTATTTGCAGTGATATTTGAAGTGATTATGTGAATTTATGTGAAGTTCAGTTCATAAGCCTATGACCAAACAGAATCGACTGTAACGTTGACAACAACCTACAGCTACATGTACATGTCATATCCTTGCAAAACATAGCTGTCTGCATCACTTGTACAGGTATCATTCCACCACCTCCAGCCTCAATCTGTCTACACGCCACATAGCCTCATACCCCCTCCCTACTGTGGAGAAGGGCAAGCCAGACCCTCGTCAGCAGATCTCCCTTCTCCTCAAGGCAACAGTGCAGCTGCTCCCCTCGTTAGTTACCTATCCTCCCCAACATGGTATCCCGTCCCCCCCCCATGATTGCATCGGTATTTCCGCAATTCGCAAATGTAACCAACCGGCGGTGTTAATCAAATAAACTGCAATGGTGGAGGGGGGGGAAGGCTGCATCAATGAGCCAGGGCATAGCCCTGCGCGGGCGGAAGCGCTCGTGTTTGTCTGGATACAGAATGAAGTAAGAACTAAACATCGTCATATGCTGGCGACTAATGTGACGTGATAATAGAGAGGGTGCCGCAATGGTGAGATGAGACACCGTTGCCCGTCTCCAATTTCGCAGGGTAATATGCCAATACCGGAATTTCCGGCATGTTAGGGAACAATTGTGTCCAAGTATAGAATCACAAGCATTCTTATTTACCTAGACTCAGACTAAAATGATCTCACGTTGATGATAAGCAGGAGGAGATGCTACAAAAGATGCCACATTATGCATAAGATTGTCAGTGACTTCCATTAATCTGTGAATCACAGTTTTTGACAAAAAACAAATTCTACAGAATTTAAAGACAAGTAGCGCGATACACCTCTTTGTGTAGGACCTACCCTAAAAAGAGACTTGGACTGCAAATAGACAGAATGAGAACCGCAGGGAAAAATTTCACAAAACTGAAATTCCTGCCAGAAGTCTATTTACAATGCAGTATTTACGCACACACATGTTCATAATGACTTCTGCTTACAGTACATATGGCACCAGAACATGACACACTGACACATACTGTGTCTCCACACCTGTCCATGTAACCCAGTCCTAGGTCTCTAAGAATGGCAAACATGAGATCTTTTTTAAAGACACAATTCCCTTTTAAAACCCAGTACAATTATTCATGCACACAGATATGACAGAATCCCTTGTGTAAATGTATGTACACGTATGCAGAAAAACCTGGTGGGCCATCAATATCCCTCCCCCTCCAAACAAGAATAAACCCCAAAATAGTTATTTTTGTAGGGGCCAGAGTCAGAATTTTTCCATTCTTTTTGTACACTATCATCTTTCAATTTTGGGAGAGATATTGGAAAAAAAAAACCCCACTTTCCACCCCCCGAAAAAAACCTAAAATGGATTGAAAAATTGAAGATAACTAGCATAGGGGCATATGCACAGGTCACTGCAATCTAAAATATATTTGGCTTTTGTTTGTCTGACAACACGCTTGTTTCCATGACAAATGAGGCACTGATGAACTCCTGAGGAAAACATACGTTAATTGCTGCGGACACTATAGACCTTTGTGCTAACATGGTGCATAGAACCCCTCTTACACGATCCTCGGCATAAAACATGTCGGTTTCTCTCTGATAAATGATACCAGCGTTGTTATTTATCAGCATCGAATGGCATCTGTCGGGCGGAAGGAGAGGCTGTTTAAGTCAAAAGGCGGCATTTACGTCAGAATATTCAGCCCAATTTTGAAGCACATTCAACAAGAGTATACGTCTTTCTGTTTTTCATTTGTGGACAAAACTGAAAAGCAGGTCATTTCAACAGCTTACATTTTGTTTGTTGGCATTTTTTGGCACAGCCTGTGGGAAAATTTATATTTAAAAAAATCCTTACACTGGATTCCTGCCAATGTGAGAGGCAACCTCGGTTCGTCACTGTGTGAGCTCAAGGTTTCCAAAGCTTCCACCATTTAGCACCACTTACAATGATATTTTAATCCTAAGAGACTTGAAATGACTGATGAGCATTCACCCACTCTCTAGGCTTTAGGCACTTGATAACGCTTTTAACAGTGACATAGATGAATGTTTTGTATCACGCTGCTGTCAAACTATCTCTCCATTGTCCATTCCCATTACTTCAAATCTCAGCCCCTGTTTGAACACCTTCCACTGCGGTTAATCAGCACAAAGGATTTTAATGTGCTGCTAGAAATGGGCACAAAAACAATGTAAGTGTCTTGTACACAGCGGGCTCGTTCAAATTAACTTGGCCCCGGGGGCAAGCGCACAGCAAGTGAATGACGCACAATAGAAATCTGGCTGGTTAATATTACACCACATGAATCCCAGCATGTCATTCTGTGTTTGCCAATAACATGTCGCTTTTTTATCTATATGGGGCATCCTTGATTTAGATCAATCTGTTTATGGTTTCAACTGTTCTTTGAATTGCATGCGCGTGCACACACACACATACCCGCAAGACTGCTGCAATTTATTGTCAAGGGGTTTAATTCAAGTCTAAGAACTGTAAAAGAAAGAGAAAGTGTGACAATTGAAGGCTGATGTGCAAAGCCAATTTTCTTTTTCAAATTGCTACTAAAATCTGTTCAAGTTATTGAAATCTAAACAGTGACCAAAATAAATCTAGATATTGCCATCTGGCATCAAGAATTTCAGACAACACCTTCACCAGGTTAGGGGGCCACATCACAGGAACAAAACACAGTTTTCATGCTTATAACAAAATATAGTTTCATATTTATGCTTTCACTAATGGAGGGGGGGAGCTTCCCACTAGGGGGGCCCCGGCCCCCTCAGGCCACCCCTTGGAGACGGGCCAGATTTTGGAGAACACGCATGATCATTCATCAAGCTGAGATGCTAAAATCTAAATTTGGTTATACAATTTTTTGGAAAGGAAACCCAATTTCTATTTTGGGGGGATTTAATTTCAGAGCAAGGAGTGAACAGACTTTTGATCAGATCTTGACTAAAAAGATTTCAGTAACTTTTGGGGTTTACATGTTGCATACCAACTAAATGTCCTCATGCATTTCTTAGCATTACTACTTCGTCTTCTAGGGTTGGGTAAGGATGACAAACTTTGGTAGGTCAGGGTGACAGTTCTTCTTGGAAAAGGTAAAAAAGGCTTGCTACCCCTTGGTGCTTTTTAACAAAACTGTCGCTCTAATGCAGAACCCAGGGAAATTATTCTCATCAACAGAGCAGTGATATTTCAATGAGTTGAAATATGAATGTAGAGAAAAATGTATGTAAACAGACTGCATAAGGTTTAGATTGTATGTCTGCTTATTATTATGACAGTACTGACATTAATGTGTCTTGAACATAACTTGAACTTACTACAATGTTTCTGGAAGACCATACAGAGTGCAGAGCTCTTGTTTACCATCAATTCCAATGATTATAATGTAAAGCTTTATTTGTTGTCAAGAATGCAGGTGTAATTGCTTGATTGAAGCCAAATAAGCCATTTGCGAGTTAAATTGAATAAAATCTGGTGCACTGAGTTATCTGACTTTACATAAACATAACAATTTGAATTCCCCAGACTAAAGACACTGTTGCTCTGCCTCGTGATTCGGGGCAAGCTTTCGCATAGCGACCACCATCTCTGGAATGGACCGGTTCCTTTATGCCCTCTTTATCCATTGAGAACAGTGTATTGTTGGAAGACGTCTCTTATGTAACTAAGCAAAAGCTTGCCCTGAATCACGAAGTATAGCAACAGTGGTTTTAGTAAGGAGAATTCAAGTTGTTATGTTCACGTGAATTTAAAGAACTCAGTGTACCAGATTTGGGTCAAAGTTAACTCGCAAAAGGCTTATTGTGCCGCTGTTAACATCAGGTCAGCCTTCACCACACTGACAAGACTATTTCATTTGTTAGGAAACTTGAGAGCACACGTGAGGACAAGAATCTTTGGTCCCTGTGGCATATATCTATGTTGCAGTCCCCACAAATATGTGTGGTAAGTTGAAGACCTAGTCCGGTAGAAATCCTTCTGCCTCATTCCATATATCCATACAGCCCTGCTTTTTATATACAGTCTTTCAGTATAACGGAAAATCACTGGAAAGGAAGGAGAACAACACGAGACAGAAATGAGAGCATACTTGTTTTCGAGGTTTGCCTGTCCTGCGGGACGGTCCCCATCAAAGTGCTTGCGCAGGTCCTTGGAGCGGTGGGGTGGAGCAGTGCTCAGGTAGTTGGAGAAGGGCTTCTCAGCGCCCCAGCTCTCCAGCTGGGCCACGGAGGAGGAGCGGCCTCGATGCTCGCCATTGGACGTCAGCGGGGAGTTATTCAGGTTGTTGTTCTGGTGATGCCGGTAGAAGAGACAGAAACCATAGGTGAAACATCAGACAGATGCATTCAGTTTGATATACGTACTTTCCTTTTGCAATTCAAAATTACTGCATAATTTTTAATTGTTTCCGTTAGAATCTTCAGTGTCGTGTCACATAGTTGTTATTCTAAAAGAAGTATTTAAATGTAAGTAATTTTTTATATTAAAATGTCTTTATTTTAAATGTAAAATAGGACCCCAACTTAGCCATTAGGCTGTGATGTTTTTATTCTTTGAAATAAACCAATTATAACAATATTTATTATTATTACCGTAATATGCATATACAGTGTATATGAATACCTACAGTATACATGTATACACATATATGTTACGTATACATGTATAGAGCATAAACCCCTGCCAAGAGTTCATCCTGATGTATCTACATGTAAACACGTATGTGTTGGTGGTATCCTGCTTGGTAAATGCTGCACTACAACCACATTAAAACAGCATTGTAGTCGAGTCCGTCACAAGTCGCTGTAAGTCTAGTACAGGTCCATCACCAGTTATTGGGTCTTCGGCTGATTCACACGCTACTCAAATGAACTGTGACAAAGTGTCATTGTTAGCCCCGTTACTTATGACTGGTCTTTTGAAAGGACTTGTGACTGGACTTGTGATGGACTTGACTCCAACGCTGCACTAAAATACATGATCATCCAATCCTGCTTCTGTACTAAGACATCAGCACTTTTCAGCAGGTTGCCAGGGTCAAGCTTTAATGGGCATGAGCCCCGAGATGGACCAAGAGAGGATGCAATTTCCTTAGAATTGCATGCTCCTGTGGTCGGAACTGTACTTCACTGGTTCACAGTGCGATGGCACTGCCCCTGTATTCTAGAAGGGCAAACTAAAGTCTACAAGCAAACCCACTGAGAAATTCAAACAGGCAAATTCAGGATTTAACAACAGCACCCCCCCCCGCAAAAACCCCCAATCCGCTTCACTGTCTTTTGTGTTTTAGGTTCCCTGGTCAGATAATGGAACAAAAAAATCAAGGCAGTAAATGACAGTGCACAAGTTGCACGATTTGGCATTTTAACATACCAATTTCAGTCAACTGCACCCCATAACAGTGCCCTGAAAACAGTGCACAATCTGTATTGCTGCATGATGTAAACTGCAATCCAACAGCATAGTAGATTTGTACAAATACAATATGTGGCATACACTATGTCACGGTATTTCCTCTCTTTTCAATGAGATTGAGTTTCAGACCGGGATATTCAATACTACATGTAAAGGGCACATTCAAGAGAAATATACATCAAAAAGTGCAGAACAAACAATGGTTGCTGCACACTGAGACCATTTGTCCCCGCATGATTGCGCTCAGGCAGAGGCAAGGCTTCCGGCCAAAAATGGAGAAAAATTGTCTCAGGAGGTATCCCGAACGCAGTCGGTGTGGAGATTTATTGGGGCCCAGTGCTGCTACCGAGATTATTTCGTGGGCGCTTGGGGAGATCATGCACCAGATTTACGAGCAAAGGGATGACCATAAATTGCTGGGATAATGAGTTCCTGGCCAGCACCTTTCGCATCTCAAAGGTCAGACGATCGACTATGGTGACATTAGAGGGCCGCCAGCGCCCAATTGGAAAAATTGACAGATTAAAGGGATGTGCCATGTTGTCACATGAGAGGGCCATGTGGAGAAACAAACCCTCTAGTAGGGAGAAATTAAAAGGTGGTGGGGAAAAAGTGAAGGTGCAACTCGGCCATTTTCTATTGTACGCACATTTGTCAGGTGTGTCTCTTGTGAAAATTGGCGCGCAGAGAGCACTGTACCCTCGCGGCTTTGCGCAGTTTGAGAAATGGGTTTGCGGGTACACCATGGAGAGATTGATTCCATGGTGTACCCGCAAACCTATCTCTCAAGTCTCTTCCGCCATGCCAAGCTTCAAATCTTACTATGTGACATGTCTTGCAAAATCCCTTCCACTGCTGTATGTGCAGAGCTTGAACTTGGACACATACTTTGATCTCAATGTTACACTGCCTATTCTTGGAACGGTAGGGTAACCTTTGGTTGAGCTATGTGTAATAGCTTTCATAAGCATGAAATGTACACGGTTGGAGAGCAAGTTTGGTATTCGGACAGTGCATGCCAAAGCAAGTCACAGGTCCTGCGCAGGTGCGTGCAAGCTCAGCGATATCATGGTGGCAGTATGGTGAATCACACACACCGACTGAAGGTGTCTAAACTGGCGTGACTTCACGTGCTTTGTTTTTAAATGACCGTTCCATTTTTAAATGCTAAACTGGCTTATTCTCACACAACAATTTCATTTGAGGAGTGCGAGATGTTGCAGGAAATCACGGTTTACTCATCTATCAGAGTTGATTGATTGAGACTGGGGTGCAAGTCCCCTGCGATATACCTTTCTGGGCCCCTTGGCCACGATGAGGTAGGTGTCAATGTTGTGATCCCTCAGGTAGGAGTTGCGTTCCTTGCCGTTGCCTGGCTCCACTTCATAGTCTCCGTTCAGAAACTTCAGAGTCGGTGTTGTGATATGGACCCTCCTGGGGTGGTTGGTGGAGAACAAAATTGCAACATCATCAGGACAATTTGACAGAATTATTTGAGGAAAAAACAATCTCCTCTTTCAAAGGGCACCTCATAACAGAATTTTTATGAATACATGTACTACCAAGAAATTGCTCCAAGGAAAAATTGTTCTCGTTCCAATTCCAAAAGAAAAAATTATCCAATAATGCCGGTATTGATTAGAATGTGAAATAGGATATTTGACGAGAAAAAGACAAGAAGACTTCCTGGAAAAAGTGATGGAGGCTTGTTGATCAAACCCAGATACAAAACCAATCACAGGAAGAAAATGCCATGGATTGGGACTGTTTGCACAACAGAAAGCAAATACGGCAGCACAAAATGTCGGCTCAGTGCGAAATGGGATCAGTAAAGGGGCCGGAGATGTGATTTCACGCCTGTCGTCCCATTTCTTGTTTTCTGATGAAAAGTTCTGATCTTACAACACGAAATAAAAACTCGTCAACAATACTTCAAAAAAAGAGAAGAAATACGCAAGACAGGTAACTAATGAGGACATCAAAAGACCAGACAATGAATCAAATTTTCGGGGGACAGAAAGCACCTTTATTTTAGGGGAGAAGGGGCAGAGATGCGACAGATGTGACTTTGATGCCTTACATAAGTCTTGCACCTTGACCTACTGGATACTGTAGCTGTGTATGAACGATAGATTGTGAATGTAGAATGAAGCTTGCACTCAGCCTACTTTTTAAAAGAGTTTGTGCACAGAATTATTGAAGTTTTTCGGGTTGCAATAGATAACAATGATCTTATGCCTTTAAAAGAGCTTGAGCTAGCCTTAAGTTTCAAAGTTGTCATTATTTGCACAGAACAAAGACTGAAACTTGACTTCGAGGTCATCGTCCACCCAACAGAAGTGCAAGCCAAGCTTTATTAGGGTAACCTAAAAACCACACAATATTATTAGTACAGGTTTTAGTGGGTGATTCAGAATCAATTATTCAGATGTCTAGAGGGGATTATGTGGTTTTCAAAAAGTCTGCTCTCCAAAACACAAAATGTTTAATGTATAAGTATTCAAGACCACAGTGGTACATGTAACTTAATTACCTGGGCACTGTAGTGTGCTCTGAACAATTCACATTAAATTTTCCTTCAAATCTCTCTTGCAATTAACAAATAGGCTCCTTCTGATTACCTCTTGATCTGTGTGGAATTTTGTTCAGGGAAAAAACAAAGTCATTTCCCTTCCTTACAAAGGAGCAGCTTCACAAATTCTAATTTACTATCCCGTTTTAATTGCTCATCTATCTCCTGGGATGGACCGACTGTTTATGTTCAATTAGTGGAGGATACGGAATACAAACAGATGGGAAAAAGACACAAGGCAATAAAACAAAACACCAGCAGAAATCCCCTATTCGACCTGGATTGAGTGCTTACAATTGGGTTTATAACTTTATCTGAACGAGCTTAATTGCTCATGTGACCGATTGCAAAGTTCAGCTCAGTGCGGAAGAGCACATGAATGTACTGTGGGCTCAAAGTTGAAATTTAAAAGTGCACCTTCTCAAAAGGAAAAAAAACCCAGAAAAACACTATCTCCTTTAATTGTGACGGAAGTGGGAGCTTCAGTGTGAGCTGGCTGGACCCTACCAGGCAGGGGTGATACATGACACAGGAGAGAGAGGAACAGCAAAAAAAAAAAAAATGTAGAGAGATAGATGAACAAGTGGCCTCGGCAGCTGCGTGACATCTCAAAGGGCACCATTCCTCAAACCTGAGACAAAATCGGTCAGTCACATGTCCCATTCTCGCAACCACAATGACAGTGGCAGACCCTCCCATGGAGACCTTGCCGTTAATTTCCCCCCCATCATTGGCACAGACCGGAAGCGGCTAAATGAGTTTCCTTCTGGAGTCTGACAGATTTCCAATCAGCAGGAAAGCTGTCTTTTTTCTTTGCTCTTTCTGATGTCTTGGAAAACGAACCCAGCTATCCATGTTCAATGCACAACCTTGGGTGTTTCAACATTACTTGCGAGGCTGGTTCCATCATAAATAGATGCCTGTGCACTGTTGACTGCCTCTGCTTGGTTAAAGGGAAAAAAAGGGGGCTCGTTCATCTCAAATCTCATCTTAAAAGATGTTTCTTCTGCCAGACAGGAGTTATGAAGAACTGCAAAATAAGGTAGAGGAACAAATGGTTTGCTGTAATGTAAGGTCTCTCCACTGTCCTGTTACACGGAGAATTTTTGCAAGGATTGTGACATGTCATTTACCCATTTGCAAGAAATGTTTAAATGTTTGAGTACAGCAATCCTGTTCCTAACACTGGTAACCTCTGGAGACAATCTGCAATCCAACTTGTGATTTGTACTGTCTGTGTGGTCACTGATGGTACTGATGAGTGTGTGGCATGCACAAGGCACACATGTTAAGTTCATGAGGGCTGTATTGTTTAATTAACAGTTTTGGGAGTATTTGAAGAGGTACCATTATACTACAGAAGCAGGACACCAGTGGATGCGCTCTTGTACGGTGCGTGTGGCACCTGTACCTCCATGCAAGGTGCTTCAGTGCATGTACATGTAGAAGTGGCTTCAAATTACTTCTTGTTGGCAAGATATGGAAATTTAGGGATCAAGGCTCACTTACATGTTAATAACATATCGTCGGTGTTTTCATGAAGTGACAAAAACCCGCAAAATCCAAAATTGTTTGATCTGGAGTTTTTCCCACCAGTTTATTCCTTTGATCCAAAGAACAAATTAGCAGGGTTTCAAAGCAAAACGTTGTTTACTTTCCTACTGTAGTAACTGTAAAGAAACAACTAACAAAAAGCTTAGTCTCTGTGTTTCTCTGTTTTCACAAAGTGACGAAAAGTCACAACATTTGCAGGGTAAAAATAGAGACAACATACACAGTCCCTGCATGAGTCTGTGTGTGTACACATGCATGTTGTACATGAATACCTGTGCGCTTGTTGAAATGTAACAAAATGTAACAATTTTCTTCGAGCGCATATTTTTTTCAGGAAGTGACAAAAGTGTGTATGATGTGATGGGAAAGAAAATGAAGACCTCCAGGTTTTTCTGTTTTCATCAAGAGAAAATTTTTTTATTAGTTTATGTGAATAAATAATTTTTTAATTAAGACATTATATCTGGAAATAAGAGTCGATTAGCATTTTCTCCGTCTTACCTTTCATGACTTTGTAAAAAATTCCTCAATCCGTAACATAAAAGTGATCGAAAATGTTTATTGAAAAAGCTGGTATTTTCAAATGCGTTTATCTGACATTGTCTGTTTGGCAAGATTTTTAGGTTTTTGTCACTTTGTTAAAACACCGATGATATCTGCAGTGAACAACTGAGAAATCTGAAAATGTCTTTTTTTTTCTGGAATCAATTGGCCACCAGGTGTCTGCAGGGCAGTTTGAATTGAAAGGCTGGTATCATCAAACTCCCTCAACTGCAGCAGCCAGATCTGGCCATATCCAACCGGATAGATCCGGATCAAGCAAGTCATGTGCACCTGTAGCTTCCGACATCAGCAGGTGTGCCTTGTCGGATGTTAATTGCTTTGGTTGCCAGACAGGATGGTCAGGAGGCCCAGAATGTGTCCAAGGTACATTTGGTTGGAAAACCCTACGGCAGTAGACAGCCCCCTCCCCTCCAGCCTTTGATGTTTTTCTTTTGTTCTGTTCTTCACTTTGTTGAGAAACATTGACCAAATCTACACCTTTTCTGAGTATAATTACTTCAAAAAGTAGAAAAACAATTACCAATGGCAGATATGACATAAAACAAATTTTAGACATGACCAATTGGAACAAATGTTCACTGATAGATAGGGCTGTGGTTGAGTCCATACAAGTCCATCATATGTCCACGAGTCCATCACAAGCCATCTAGAATCCTCATTAAACTAGTCATCTTTGTCACTGTTCACCCTATTACTCTGTGCTCAAAATTAACTGAGCGACAATCACAGCTCTTTGTTCTTTCTCTTGAGCATTCTGATTTTTTCTCAGAAGAGGAGAAAAGACTCAAGAAAGAATGGACAGAAAGGCTGTAGCAATCAGGCTCATAATTTCTCCATGTCCTCCCCCCCCAAATCGATCTGCACACTTGAGGGCCAACTGACCATACCGGTAAACAGGCAGAGCACTATTCTGCCTACACTGGTCTTCGGGCTACCCACCTGTCTACAAAAAAAAAAAAAGAAAAGAATCAAGCCCTCTCTTTTCTTCGTTTGGCCCTCTCTTCCAATCTGAAAAAGAAAATCGTTCGACAAAATTTCCCCAATGGGTCCACGTGGCATTTTGTGTTACCCTTCAGTGCCATTTTCAGTAAACCTGTAACTCCATCTTTTCAAGCAAAAGAGAACAGGGCCATGAACGAAAAAAAAAATATCCTGACGAGGGTCAAGAGCACTTACTCAGTGCACCACAGCCCGCACATTATAAGCACTCCACACGCATTTCACAATTTTTTCCCTGTTTTAATGCAAGGAATCTGTTTTACGGGTAGCTTCTTAATGCCACTTTTACTCAAACTCCAGGGGATCGATTCCAGCGAGACAGTACTGCTGCCAGCGAAGTGCTCTGAACTTCTTCATGGAGGTCTTCTGAACAGATGTACCCTTGGGAGGATCTGACATGGATGCCTGCTGGTAATACAACTTTCGGAGTAAGGTTTTGTTCGTCTTAGGAACTTGCATGGTCAAGAGTGAAATGCATTTTGTACTTGACGGGCTTCCCAACAACTACAGGGTTTTAAGTGTTGTGTTTGTCTGATCCAACACTGAGTCTCTATTTCTTTATATCAAACTCAATAGCGTATTTCCTTTTTTCTGTTGGGGGATCAACCTCATTCGCAGCAATACTGACAACCCTTCGCCAAAAGTTGTTGAAGGATCCAGGCAATAATCTCTCCTTTGACAGATACTCAAAACAAATGGGCAACTGAGTGTGCTGTTGCAATGTCACTCTGGGATGACTCTGTTTCGTTTAGGGAAATTCAGTCAGAGTTTTCAATATAAACCCAAAACTTGCTTACTGAATACATTCATGTGAGAGGACTGTTCTCTGGCTAACTGCTATGTATACACGTACATGTAAATGTACTTCCACAGTAATGAGTCACGACAAGATTAGAAAACGTGCAACTGCAGAATGCAAGTATCCGAGATCCTGACAAGCAGCAACTTTTTGTGCTGAAATACTCATGTACATGGAGTTCAATGAGGCTAATTCTGCCCACAATGACATCATACTCATTGTTCATGAACATGGATATCTGCATTACCATAAAAGCCAAGACAAGATCACAACACCCTTTCAAATGGCAAAACAGAACATGGAAAATAGGATTAAATGGGACATAAGGGTATATTTTCAGCGACTGCATTAAAAAATTTCTTTGAATCAACCCCCAGGCCAAGTAGCTCCACTCAAGTATTAAGAAGAAAACACTGCACATGCCTAGGGACAGGATTGTCAGACTCTCCAGCCCTTGCTGGTGAGGACACCATTAGCAGCTTTCAAATCCCTCCATTAATTGCAAGTCACAAACCCCCAACCTACATGGTCGTTTCTGGTCCCAAAAGACAGACTTCACTCTGTTTACTGCATGTACACTTGCATGTGTAGAACAGCACTACCAGGTACTTACACTGAACTGCTGCAATGAACGACAAGACGATCGGTCAAACTGGTTTGATTGAAAAGCTGAGTTGCGTGGCTGTATGGACTGCCCAGCTGTGGTACGCATAGGTGCTGACCTATCCATCAGGGCAATGGGCAGATCCATATCACTGAGATGTATTAACCGCGCTTTGTTGCAGGTTGTAGGTTCATTTTTTGCACATCCCCAGGATACACAATTCAGGCAACATTGCTTCAAGAGAAATGCAATTGACCCCCTCCCCGTGAACAAAACTCAACGGATCGCTTCCAACAGCTATGGTACAGTGGTCACAAGTCAGGAATGAGACAACAAAACAACAGGTCTCAGGTGCGACTCCTGGTCAGGTAGTGAGTCCCTCCCCCTCCCTGGACTTACCCTGGCATGCCGCCTGCCTCCATGGTGTTGGCCAGTGTCACGTCGTTGGACCAGACATCAAACTGCCACTTCCTCATCCCCAGTACCCCACAGTGGACCTTCCCACTGTGAATGCCCACGCGCATGTTGACGTTGACCTGGGTGACCTCACGAACAAGTCTGCCAAGACAGACAAAATGAAAAAAAAAGTTCATTTAAAATCTGAAATGCTACCTGAAGCACACACCCACCAAAAAACAAACAAGCACAATACTCAAAACTTCACCTAATGCACATACTTCCGCTTTAGTCAAATAAAAAAATCTATATTTTCCTTCAATTATTCAATACGATTTAGGTGACTTTCTTGGAGCCCAATGGCCAAGACTGCTAGGAAGTGGTTTACTCTTCAAAAATGCAATAACTTCATTCGTCAATTTTCAACAAAACGATTCATTGTGATCAGATTTGTGCCTCAGTGACCACAGGCACTGATACTGAAAATTTACAATTCTGACACTGCCAGATGAAGTGTTGGTCTGCCTGAAAGTTGGGTTTGTGCTTTGTAGAGCCTTGGAACACTAGTTTAGTTTGAATTCTGCTTCAAGAGGTACGTGAGCGCCATTAATAATAATTATAATACATGTAATCCTGTATTTATAATGCAGATTTTTACAAGATACAAAGCATGACCTAAGAAAACTTATGAAGACTACAAATTCCAGGAAAGGCTGATGTGGATTTTCATTTTAACTCAAGATTCAGTGAGGGATCCGATGTTGTGAATGCTCTGAGGTTGAGAATTCCAGTATCAGGGAAAAGAAAGTGAAAAAGGCCCTGTCCTGGCTCTTCCGAATGTGTGAGGCATTCTTTAGTTGTTACTGAAGCGGGCCTGAGCGGAGGCCATCAGGGCTTGGTTTGTTGCGGTTGACCAATGAATGATTTGATTTACTTTGAAGAGGGGGTGGGAAGAGGGAAGACAATGTCTAACTTACAAGGAGGGCGCATCGTGGAATGTCTGAATTCTGGCATATCAAGCCAGTATACCCCTTTTAGTTTCCTCTTTCCTAACAGTAATAAAACTACATGCGAGTCTCACACATGTACGTGTACAGCTACCGTACATCCTCACAACCTCTAAAAAACAGTTTCTGTGAGCGCATGCGGCGGGGGTAAGATGATGATTGGGATTAGAAGATCAGCCCTGGGAATTTCACGCTGCGATGGTAATATCGTCAGGGATCTTCCAGCACCAGGCGACAAGGAAAGGCTTAGAGCGGCTCTGGTTGTTTATACCCGACGCTGCCGCTGTGACCGGCTGAGTCCCTAGTCGCTGAAATCTTCCCTTTCAAAAGTGCCGTGGGCTGGCGGTGAGACTAAGCCGAGCATGCTCCATGCGGGGCGACAGCTTGCCTGATCAACTCTCTCGGCATACCCTAAAGGGTATTAGGCAAAAAAAAAAGCCCACAACCAAACAAAGCATAGAACCAACATCTGCTTTGGAATGTGTAGGAACATCAAGAAATCTTTTCGTACTGTCTGAATTTATCTTCCCTATAAATTAGCAATTTATTCCATTTTCAATAAACATTGAGTCCATTTCGTTTCTACATTGTGAAAGATGGGAACAGCCATACATCACTACATACATGAGTGCCATATTTTGTTTCTTATTCTTTTGGAAAAAAAACACCATTTTGCCACAAATGTTGTTCACTGTTAGCCAAGTGCTCTAAAAATGAAAAAAACAAAATGTTGATTCTTCAAAGTGGAAGAGTAAACAACGTACGTGATGCAACTTGTCAAACTTTGTAAAAAAATTCAGAGAGCCAAAGTCAGTGACACAAGTTTCTTTCTGTTGACTGACTGGGGGTGAGGAAATGATTTGATTGTTGGTGATATGTATAAAATCTACTGCATGATGGTAATGTGGAAGTCATTCATTGGGCAATTCGGCATCATGATAGCATTTTTACGTCAAGCCAATCACCTCAAACTAATGATTCTCTAATTGCAGTTTGGTAAACTTCACTAACCTAGAGCCAAGCACAGGTGGATCCACTGTTTGAGCAATAAATTTCAGATACAAAAAGAATAAGTGTTGGCATATCTGGGTTGTTTTCTCAGGTCGAGTTTCCAAACGTGGTCGAGTCTACAGGGCCCGAGATCTGCTCAAATGACACAGCGACTGAGCATATGATCCTCACAAGATACTGAGTCTCTCTTTTTTCTTTTTTCAACTCTTCTTCACCTGCGGCAAGTTGCAAACTGATAGACACAAGTGAAGGAAGCTCATCATCGTGGGATATGACAGGTTAAGACACACAGTCTGGCAGGGTGATTAGAGGAGATGGTTCAACCTCCTATGGTTACAGGGTTCACGATAGGTTGATGGGTAATGAAAAGACTGATACGAAGCAGAGCACTACACTGTCCATGACAGGCAGTGTGTGGCACATGGTTGCTGTGTCCCTTGTGCTCTATAAAGAGGCTTTCTTTGGAATGCTTGAGGTCCTTTTGTGCCCATGAGTAAGACAATTTGTAGCAATATCCCTCTTACTTGGTTGCCAGTTAACCATTATTCTGTGATTGTGTCACTGACACAAGGAACCGTAATTTTCGGGATATAAGCCACGGCTTATAATGTACGTTGATTCTCACGCTGAATAATGTCTCTGCAGCTTATACGCTGGGCAGCTTAGCCAGCAAACTTTGAAGGATAAAATCAGTAACAAAAGCCACATCAGGGCCATGCATACCACGTGGAAGTTGCATAGTCATGTTTTAGTTGGTTGCCGTTTACATCTGAAAACTCAAACCTCAGAGAATACACAAAAATTTGAGTTATCAGGATTTTGAGTTATTAACGGAATTGCCCAAGTCATGGAGTCAATCTTAAACTTTGCTTGCCCTGTGTGTGTGTTTACTTCCTGCTTTTTATTCAATCTCATGGTGTATTTTTGCATACAAATAATCATTTTACGAAGATTGTTTTATTGTTGTAACCTAAAGATTTCTTTCTACCGTTAAATAACAATCAACCGCTTCAATAGTGTACCTTAACTTTTTACCGATCATGTTCAGCGTGACATGCCACAGAACTTCGGGTTTTATTCACTTGATTTTTTGATGAAAACACTTTCTGTGGTCACATGGTTATTGTAAAAGAGTCAGCGATTGGATTGTCCATGAATGGGTCTGCGGTAGCAGTCAGGCTACCCTGAAAACAGGGTTTGGGTATTCGTGGTGGTGCGTGTGTGCCATATGCCACGTGCAGCATGCAACACAAGGAGTTCCAATGAGATGATCAAACTACAAGGTCTCGTGGCGGATTTTTCATTTTGAAGCGATTTGGCGGTGTGTTTTGATCGGCATCACAAGAACCCTCGAGATAACTGGATGTAGTGTTGTGGACAGCTACAGAGGTATTTTTTCTCATAAAAGCCAATTCTTTTGGCAAGCAATAGTTGGCCTACGTCCCCGACTGCATAACTTTTGCTGGCCGCTGGGAAAAAAGGCAAGAGCTGATGCACGGCCCATGCAAGACCACCATCCAGCCAGTAAATAAAATTAATATGAGGACTTAAAATTCACTTTTTATGGTGACACTCGTTCACATTTTGCTTTATACTTTTGTTAGGACTGCTCGTGTAGTGAAACCATTGACGTTCTGTACATGCTGTATTGGCGTTTCAGCACGCAGCACAATGACCTTTGTGGTCGGACTGTCAGCGCTGCAGTGCGGCTTATATGCCAGTGCAGCTTACAAGCCAACTTTAAATCTAGATTTGCCAATTTTGTGGGCTGCGGCTAATATATCAGGTGGCTTATATTCCAAAATTGTGTTAATTACACTGTCTGGAGGTATCATTAAAATCATTTGGTTGGCGCAAATAACTCTCTCATTTCGGTTTTTTTTTTAAGGGGGAAGGACAAATGTATGCATTTCCATGGTTCTTGCATGAATGTTACTAATTATATTAGATTTGAAGAAGCCTGTTAACTTTGGCAAGCCTGCAAGCTTGAGCAATAAGCTTATACATCATTACAGCTGCAAACCTCAAACCTGAAATTCTTTTAAAGAGCCAGGGGGCTAAATTAGGGGGCCTCAAACAATTCTGTTTTCCCCTCCTTAGCATACGTCTTAAATAACCATAGATATCCGTCGATTCAGTCGACATGTAGGCCTACATGTTAAAATCAGCTGCATGTGAAATCATGGCAACAACTCCACATCTCAGCAAGTGCTCTTTTTAAAAAATAAAAATGGCATTTGGCAAAGTTTCACTGTCAGTCGCATTTGCCTTGATTTCCTCTACCCCCCCGTCTCCAAGCCCATATCCGAAGAAACAAAGCCTCGAGGTACAAGAAGAGAAGATCTGTCATATTTTGGATTAAATAGTTCCCCCGGCCTGGACTAACCCACAAATCATCCCACAAGGGATCTTCCATTGGTGGGGGAGGGGGGGTTGACACGACGGCTGTCTGTATTGCTCTCATTAAAGCCACAGATTATTGCGAGCGGTCACGTTTGGGGGGGATCCTCACGGGTACTGGGTGGTCACGAAATGGAAAGGTCTGTCATCTGCACATTGATGCAAAAACAGGTATGTGCAAGTGCATCCTTTTCTGCCATTTCAGACTGAAACGATTTCAGTTTTGCACTTCAGACAAATTTTATTGCTGAAAGGAGTACATAAAAGCCTAGCATACATGTACCTATCAAGTGGTATTTTTTCATGCATAAACTACAAAACAAAGTCTGTTTCCAACAAGGCAAGAGAAGACGGATAGTGAAGGAAATCCAAATGGCTAAATTTGCTTAACACAAGTGTCACTAGAACTGCCAGAAATTACACAAAAGGGAAAACTTCTATATAGAAACTCAAAACTTTGCAGGTAAACGTATATGACTCAAGTGGAAGAAAATCTGTTGTCTCCAACGCCTTTGAGAAGTTTGTTTGGCAGTCTGTCGGGCTGTCCGAGAGAAGCACTGCACACAGGTATGGTGTCTCTTCCTCCAATCCAGACAACCCTAAGATTTAATCAATGAAATGTTTCTGAGCGCGCAGACGTGGAATCGATGTACGGCAGGGAGGGGGGGAATGTTGGCAGTATAAATACCCGGGAAGTGAGGATTAATATCGATTTGTCTGTAAACTGGCCGAGGGCTGACTGAC